GTGCTTGGGATATGCCGATAGTGGTGTCTTTTTCTCTAGATTCATTCTGGCATTTTGTATAGACCGAATGATGTAAAAGCATGGTGATTGTAGAGGATTGCCTCAGCATGTGGAGGCATGTAGGAACTGGAACTTGGTGCAGTTGCTGACTCACATGCAACTATTCTTTGTACTTACAAAGCTCTAAATAAAACATTGGCTTACGTAGCAAATATGAAACCACAAAAAGTCTTCATATTCACAAATGAAGTAGCTTATGGATGTTTTCTGGATCAACCCTTTGCTGTTTCTACTATGTAAGAGCAATATTCTAGATGGAATGGGAGAATGCTACCGTGAAATGTGGATTAGCTGGACTTGTCAATAGTCATTCCATCTGCTCCCATGTGCAATTCTAAATGTTAAGAGCCTTGTGAAGGTAAGGCTAGGTAATACAATTTGCTTTCACGACATACTATAACCAAATCATAGTACATAAGTTGCATGCTTGATGAAATGCCAATTTACCGTCTTTCATTCATTTTAAGAACCGAATCACAATTGCATTTACTTCATTTGAAGAAGTCATGGGATATGCCTGTCTTGATCCTGTCTTTGGTCGGATTTGCGAGAGGGGCAAGGAGGAAACTTGTACCGAAGAATGTGTGATTTGTGAGGAAAAATAATAATAGGTAATGGTTTCTTTATTGGACATTTTTCGCAAAGTCATTTCGAGAGATTTGGTGTTACGGGGGAGTTTTCACATTTTTTTTTTCGCATCAAATTTGCTCTAATAGAAATTTTGGAAATAAAAATTTTATATTATTATAAACGAATTTCTGTTCCAGGAAATAGAAATTATATGCCGTTATCAAATGAATTTCTGTTACAGAAATAGAAATTTTAGGTCGTTATCAAACGTTTTTATGTAATCAGAAACTTATCCGAGGAATAGAAATAGAAAAAACTATTTCTAGACAGAAATTGATTTATGGAATAGAAATGTTACCATGTGCGCCCTAAGTTTCTTTCATGCATCTGATTATGAATGTCTTGCCAGTTCTTTTACAGTGGCACAAATTCTTTATTATAGGCTGATTACTCTTCAGCGGCTCTGGTTTTGAGTGTTTTGGATATATTGAAATTAAACTTCTTGTAGTTCTTTTGGTTTGCTCGCGAGTTATTTGAAGAAATGCCAGTTAGGGCTTTCTCATGGAAATGGTGGATTAGATAGTTTAAGAGGGTGAGAATTGAGCTTGCGAACTATGTTCATGATATATTGCTTCATGAACTTATAGCTATTAGGATCCATCGGTGAGGTTGATATGAATTTGTTAAATTTCTATTACCAATCGACGTGATTATTTCACTATGCCTTCTCTTGTTTAAAAATAATAGTAAATAAGTATCGTGTCGTGTCTGACAATCTAGGGCATCATAGCTTATTTGGTATTAGAGCAAGTTTACCCATGGAATAATAAGGTGCGGTTAAAGGTTGGAGTTGTACAATGGTCATGAGTGTAAAATATTATATGCACGCGTTTGCTTTTGATTAATTGTGAGGTATAAATAACATTAGTTACTAAATAATTAGCACTGAGCTAATTAATATATTTAGGCTTTTGCAAGATAAGATGAGCTCCGGTGGCAATTTGAAGCAAGATCCTCAAATGGAAGAAATTATTTAGGTGCTTGCAAACGTCAAAAGCCTGATTTATTTATTTTTTGGTTGGACGTCAAAAGCCTGATTGAAAGGCAAGTAAAACAGCATGCAGCTTCTAGTTTGGGAAATGGAGATCATTATTTACAAGGTTTAATCAAGCAATTTCTGAAGCTGAAACCGCCAAAGTTTGCTGGAATAAGAAATTTAGAAGAGGAGGAATCATGGATTTGATGGGATTAAGAAGATATTTGCTTTACTAAATTGCAACAAAGCTAACAAGATAGCCCTAACTGAGGGGGTAAGAACAGCATTGGTGCCAAAACTTGTGTACGGAGGCCACTTTGGTGTCAAAAGTTCCATTTGGATCACTTTAGTGCCAAAAAATTTAAAAAACGATCTTTTAAGTGCCAACTCTGATCTGATTGGTCGGAAATCTGACGTGGCAATTTTTTATTAGTATTTCAAGCCGACGTGGCTCGCCGGAGATACAGTGAACACGCACAGTCAGCATTTTTTATTTTAAATAATTTTTTTCTTTTTATTTCTTTTCTTTCTTTCTTTTCTTTCTTCTCCCTTTGTCACCGCCAGTGACCGGAGGTAGGCCACCGGCCGCCTGGCCTCACCCGGACGAGGCCGCCGCCGCCCGCCACAGGCGAGGCCCGGCCGACCCTCGCCTGGGCGACGGCGGGCAAGCCCGGCGAGGTCGGCCTCACCTCGCATGGGCGAGGGCGAGCCCGGCGAGGCTCCTCGCGATCCGGCGAGGCCGGCCGTCGCCCGGCCACGGCGGCCCCGCCGAACGTCGCCCGGGAAGGCAACGCCGGCGGGCCGCCGTGGCCCGGGCGACGGCCGGCCTCGCCGGACTCGGGCGAGGGAGCCCTCGCCGGGCTCGCCTCGCCCATGCGAGGCGAGGCCGACCTCGCCGGGCTTGCCCGCCGTCGCCCGTGCGAGGGTCGGCCGGGCCTCGCCCGTGGCGGCGGCGGCGGCCTCGTCCCGGCGAGGCCCGACCGACCTCGCCCGGGCGACGGCGGGCAAGCCCGGCGAGGTCGGCCTCGCCTCGCATGGGCGAGGGCGAGCCCCGGCGAGGCTCTCCTCGCCAGATCCGACGAGGCCGGCCGTCGCCCAGCCACGGCGGCCCCGCCGGCGTCGCCTTCGCCGGCGACGCTCGGCGGGGCCGCCGTGGCCCGGGCGACGGCCGGCCTCGCCGGATCTGGGCGAGGGAGCCCCTCGCCCATGCGAGGCGAGGCCGACCTCGCCGGGGCTTGCTGCCGTCGCCCGGCGAGGGTCGCCGGCCTCGCCTGTGGCGGGCGGCGGCGGCCTCGTCCGGCGAGGCCGGGTGGCAGTGGCCGGCCTCCGGTCACCGGCGGTGACAAAGGGAGAAGAAAGAAAAGAAAAAAAGAAAAAAATTCAGAAAAGTATTAAAAAAATCGAAATATATACGTGGAAATGCCACGTAGACTAATTTTTTAAAAAAAAAATCCAACTAAGATTAAAAATTTAATTATAAATGTCACGTATTAATTTGGCCGGAATTTCTCGCCGTTGACACCAAAGTGATCATTTTTCCTCCGATTTGGCACTAAAGTGATCCAAATGAAACTTTTGACACCAAAGTGGCCTCCGTACACAAGTTTTGGCACCAATGCTATTCTTCCCCCCCCTAACTGAGTACCAACTCTAAGATAATGCCAGTTTTTGGTTGAGGGCATCTAAAGAAGTGGTTTTTCGGTTGGTGCACTCATGACATGGGGTGGCTTTGTTAAAATGTTCTTTGGAAAATATATCTTGGATTGTGCTCGAGATAAGGAAGTGATGGAATTCATAGAATTAAAACATAATAATATAACAATGGATCAGTATGATTTGAAGTTTGCAAAATTGCCAAGGTTCACCCCCAAATTAGTTGGGGATAAGGAGGACATGGCTAAAAGATTTCAAGATGGCCAGAGGCTAGATATCAAGAGCAGATTAGTGCCCTTGAATCTTGAGAACTATAATGCCCTCTATGAGTGTGCTCAGCCCATAGAGAGAAACTTTTCAGAGTTAGCAACAGCAGCAACTTTCACGACAAGACCAAATCATAAGGTCTTTTGACCTAATTTACGTTGTGGCAAAAGGCCCATACAAATTGGAAAGTGACCATTTGTTTCGATTAAGACGAACAATGCTAGAGGACAGTTTGGGTAAACACATAATAATCAACCGATGGTGAGGATGCAATATCAAAATAATGTATGCTGTACTTGTGGAAAGCCACATGGAAATGCACCCCGCCTGGCTCACACAGGAGCCTTTGGATGTTGACCGAAAGGTCACATGATAAGATAGTGTCATATGATGGCATATCGACAGCAGATGAGGCCACCGCAACAAAACCAAGCCTCACGGCTAGGAAATTTCTAGAGGCCACTAGCCCAAGGCGACTTTGTGCTGTCACGCGGGAGGAAGCTAGGGCTTCCAAAACTATTATATCTATCTTTGTATGCGACAACAGTGCTTATGCATTATTTGATACGAGTATCACACATTCATTCAGATATGCACGATTCTCATAATTAATTGGAGTAAATCCCAAACTGCTCCACTACAAAAAAATAAGGGATTAGCGACGAATTTTGCGACGAAAAATTTAGCAAAATCCGTCGCAAATCGAATTTGCAACGAAATTAGCGACGGAAAAAATTCCGTCGCTAATAGGTCGTTGCAAATTTTTGCGACGGAAAATTTCAATTTCCGTCGCAACATTGCGACGGAAAAAAATTCGTCGCAAAATTCGTCGCAAATTAGCCACGAACTTTATCCGTCGCAAAATTCGTCGCAAAATTCGTCACAAAAATTTTCCGTCACAAAAATTGCGACGGAAGGCATTTTCAATCCGTCGCAAATTTGCGACGGATTTATTTTCCGTCGCAAATTTGCAACGGATTTATTTTTCCGTCGCAAAATTCGTCGCTAATTTGCCACGAACTATATTCGTGACAAAATTCGTCGCTAATTTGGCACGAATTTTTTTTGTTTGTAATTTGCGACGAACTTACTCGTGGCAAAATTCGTCGCAAATTTGTCACGAAAAATTTTGACTTTTGCCATGAACATTATTCATGAACAAATTTAGCAATGATTTTTTATTAATTCTTTAGTGACGAACTCTGCGACGAATATCGTTTAGGGACGAAATTAGCGACGAAATTTTATTTTTGTAACGAACTTTTATAATTTGCGATCGTACGATAAAATCATTTATTTTATTTTTCGATTTTAAACTTAATTAAAAGCAAAATTAATTTCTGAAATTTATATTTAACATTGATTAAGCACTTAATATCATCAAAATATTATAATAATATGAAAATGAAATACATTCATCTACATTTTCCACAAGAATGACATAAATATTTTTCTTTATAGTACACATAATGAGAGAATAAATAATCTTGCATAATAAATAATCTTGCACAATAAACAATGACGACAGAAATGAATCAAAAAAGAATATCTGGCTTTTAGCGACAATCTCCATCATATAAATACTGAACAAAACTAAAGACACGGTCCATGTGAGATGCTCACTTCCTTTGCTCTGTGAAGTTCACGTACTGATCAAGTGCTTTCTTGTTTACATGACTAAACTATCGGAGCTGCTCGTTGCATCTGTGAAGCATCTTCTGCAACTCTTTGATGCTCCTCCGTCTATACCTATAATCTCAAACATATAAAATGAGGTATGATGAGCTTCAATAGTGGAAACCAAATTAAAATTCAGTAGCAAAGGGAACATACGCCTCAAAAGCATTTTCAAAGTCAAAACATTTTCACAGTTAGACAAGGGAACATACGTCTCAAAAGCATCAGAAGATAACGGGCCCAAGTTCCTTATCTTTTTTGAGTACTCATCTTTTTAGCTATAAGAGTATTCCTCCGGCTAAAGAGTTGTTCAAGTTCTTTAGTTTCATCCTGAAGTGTTTTCTCATAGGTGTCCTCCAAAGCCTGCATTCGAGCAATCATTTGAGAAGAAACCAAAGAGTTGAATACCAACATTTAGTCCACACCGAAAAAATTAAATAGTACCTTCAACTTTGCCATCTCATCTTTGATCTTTTTGATTTGCTTATTTGTTTCCTCTGTACTTCTATTAATTCCTGATAATTTTTGTTTCAATCAAAAGCGCGAACAAAATCTAAAGCTTCAAGACAACAATATTTCGATCAATCCAAAATTTCCACCTTCTAATCGCTGGGTTGCATCAATGACCAATGATTTAGTATCTTTTAGCTCCTACCACTTTGATTCCGCTTCATTTTCATGCAAATCAGTCTCTGATGAGGATATAATAGCCTCATACTCTTGCTTCTGCCTCTTGAGATTAGTTGCAAGGTTAGTCTCAAGCTCTGCTTTTCTTGTTTCCATCTGCAAACAAACAAAAGTGATGACCAATATGCACAAAAACAGCACAACTGTACTCTGGCAAGGTTCTCATTGCCAACCTCAATACGAATATCAACAATACATAGAACCATATCCTACCTTTTCAGCAGTTACAGGCTTTGTCAACTGGCGATTGCGTTCTTGTTCTGAAGTGACAAGCAAGAGAATGAGCATCTATCCAAAGAAAGCTTCAAAAAAATTAACACATGAAGCACTACCTTCTGCAAGTGAAGTCTGAGTGTTCTTGAGCATCTATCCAACGATAGCTTTGTCCTCTCCATTTTCTTCCTTTCCCCCAGAAAAAAAAAAAGGAAGAACACCCAAGAAAGAACTCACGCCGATTCGAGCCTCGCCTCGCTATTTGCAACAGCACAAAAAAAGTCCAAAATTGCACGTCTATTCGCAAATTGGAGAACTGGGTCATTCATCAAATACTTGCAAAGCACCCTATCCTGACCCATTTACCCTATAAACTCACAAACATCATCTCCATTTCTCGATGAAGACTATACCCAATTCCATTACTTACAGGATGTGGTAAGTCAGTAACTTTATCACTCTCATTTCGTATGGGATGGTCAAGTCCAACAGCCCTACAAAACTGCGCAGACATTATGATGTAAAGAGAGAAATTAAATCATAATCAACAAAGACAACCCTCTTCAGGCTGAACAGATCAAAGCACCAACGTCTTACAGAAAACTCTGATCCTGAAAGTAAATAGCCAGTAAAAAAGATAAAGCATACCTCTCCCTTCCAAGAAATGCCATACAAGGATCCGTCAGAGAGTCCAAGCAGCATATGCCTGTTATCACTTACGATATTGCTCTTGAGGAAGAGACATAAGCTCGGTAAACATTCATCAAACATGCCCATTAGGTTTCTAGACTGCTTTGTTCATTTAATATTTTTTATTTTAAATGAGCAAAACCAATATACTTACAAGATGTTATGTGATTTTTGTACAACTTAACCGAGTTTAGGGAATAATAAAGACAATGGCGTGCCCACAGTCCACTAAGGCACAAGTTTAGATTTCCAGCATATACACAAATACATTGGCGTAATACTCACACAGATAAATTCATGTCTCCAAAGGGAACCTGCTCGCTGAGGAGAAGAGAAATAGTCGCAAAATACAAACCAGACGGTTGCTTCCCTCCAATCTGTACTCTTTTCTCATAAAAGTGAACCTTAAATAAATGAAGATAGAGTGAAGTCGTCTGCAAAAAAATATGAAAACACGTCATAAGAAGCAACCAGGTGCCCTCGAGGGGATAATATAAGAAGCAACTGGTAGTTTATTTTACTAGTCAGAGCAAGACCAAGGAAGGAGGAAAGAATGCTCGCATTCACTAACAATAGGCACAATTGACAAGCATCACCTCTCTAGCTTCTATTAGAGATAATTATCTAAAGGGTCATACCGATACCCCCTTGGCCAAAATTAAGTAGCTACAAAGATCAGTCCGAAGAATGACAGTAGTCAACCGACACGCAGAATTTCTAACTGGAACAGCCAAAGAAGAGATCTACAGCAGGGCACCCAGCTCTCATTTTGAGCACCATCCTTTGCGGATGCATTGTAGTCAAGGTAAATTTTGTACACGAGTACATCCCAAAAAATGAACTTATACCAATCCATAGTTATAGGCCGACCAGATATGAATCAAGAACGGCAATGCAAATGCAAAATCAATTGCAATTGCCCGACTCACAAATCGACCGGATCATATCATGTTTCATCAAACCTATCCATAAAAACATCTCGAACTCACCACAAAGGCAATCAATTTGGCATCAGGGCTCCACACGGCCTGCGAATTCTCCCCCTCCCTCCGCAACGAATCCGCGTCCCTCTTGTACTTCCCCAACCTCACCCTATGCTGATCACACGAAACCAAAGACAACATCAAGAACGGTCACTGTACGAAACCAGTGACGACCGCGGGAGCGAGCTCGTTTCGTACCTGGGAAGAGCTCCAAAGCTCGAGGTGAGACGGGGAGACGAACTCTGTTCGGCTGGGAGATCGTGGGGCCCTCGGTGACGGAGCACCGGATCCCGGCGGGGCGCGCGAGAGGGCTTGTGGGTGCGGAACGGGCAGATGGCGACGGAGGAGGAGGCAACGGCGGTGGCAGTGAGGGTGGCCATCATGGCTGGCGGAGGGGAGGAGGGAGCGACGGATTTTTTTTTTCCGTCTCAAATTTGCGATGGATTTTTTTTTCTGTCGCAAATTTGCGACGGATTTTTTTTTTCGGTCGCAAATTTGCGACGGATTTTTTTTCCGTTGCAAGTTTGCGACGGATTTTTTTTTTCCGTCTCAAATTTGCGACAGAAATTTTTTCCGTCGCAAATTTGCGACGGATTTATTTTCCGTCACTAATTCCGTCGCAAATTAGCGACGGATTTATTTTCCATCGCTAATTTGCGACGAATTTTTATTTCGTGGCAAATTCCGTCGCAAATTAGCGACGAATAATTTTCATCGCTAATTTGCGACGGAAAAAAAAATCCGTCGCAAATTAGCGACAAAAAATTTCCTGTCGCAAATTTCCGTGGCAAAATCCATGTTTTTTTGTAGAGCTCAAAGCACCTCTAAGTGTCTCTACACCATTAAAAGATGCAATTTTGTTCACTATGGTATGTAAGAATTGTAAGATTACCATTGGTGGACAAGATCAAATGACAGATTTGGTCGTATTGACAATGTGTGATTTTGACGTTATTTTGGAAATGGACAAGCTTAGTAAGTAACAAGCCAATATGAATTGTTATCGGAAAGTTTTTCGGTTCAATCCACCTGATCGTTTTGGATTTGCATTCTTCGAAAATGGGGCACATCCTTCAATGCCACTCATTTCTATGCTTGAGGCATATCGTCTTCTGAATGATGGTTGCAAAGGGTATTTAGCATTTGTAACGGACCAATCAAAGGAAGAAGCACAACTTGAAAGAATTCTCATTATTCGAGAATTTCGCGATGTCTTTCCAGAGGAATTATCCGAATTACTGTGAAAGCATAAAGTTGAATTTATTATTGAACTTGCTCTAGGAACATAACCTATTTCTAAAGCTCCATACCGAATGGCTTTAACGAAGTTGAAAGAGTTAAAAGTGCAACTACAGGAATTACTTGACAAAAGTTTTATTTGACTTAGTGCATCATTTAGGGGTGTACCAGTGTCGTTTGTCAAGAAGAAAGATGGGTCAATGCGCCTTTGCATTTATTATTGGTAATTAAATCAAGTTATGATTAAGAATAAGTATCTGTTGCCTAGGATTGATGATTTATTTGATCAACTACAAAGAGCGTTAGTATTCACCAAAATTGATTTAAGATCGGGGTATCATCAATTACAGATAAAAAAGAAGGATATTCCTAAGACGGCTTTTCGAAGCCAGTAAGGTCACTTATGAGTTTTTAGTCATGCCTTTTGGTTTGATTAATGCACCATAACATTTATGGATATGATAGAAATGATGTTTTAAGCCATTTTTTAATCAATTTGTGATAGTGTTCATTGATGATATTTTGGTATATTCAAAAGGCCAAGATGACCATGAGCAGCATTTGAAAATCTTACTTCAAATGCTTCATGAGCACAAATTGGCTGATAAAAAATTCAAACTTATGGCAAAATAATTCAGACAGTCAAAAAAACCATTGTTGGTGTAAGAAATAATTCATATCTTCGCCATTGAATTGTTGACTTACGAAAGAATCTGATTACAAAACTCATTTCAAATACACATGTCACTCGTCCAATGATGAATATGTAAGTATGTTTTTCCCTTGACAGGGGACTTAACGATAGTCCTCCATCTAAAGCTAATTTACAATCATGTTCGAAACCCCAATTACCAAACACTACTCGTGATCAATCAAAAGACTTGAATTCAGGTCTCTTTCCATTAAGGTCGTTGTGTTAAGGTCAAAACATTCCCAAACTCAGCCCTTGGTGGTCCCCAATCCGGTGCCACGACTCCACCAACTCTCAAGTTTAAGAATCCATTCATACCTAAAATTAGCAATGTGGTACACCAAGAGAAAAAAAAAAGTCTTGAGCATCCTCTCTCGGCGGCAGTGTTATCGGGATATGCATGCATTGACATTTGAATTCACCATGCGTTCATCGACACCCTTGTACCACGAGAGAATCATGTTAAAGAACCCAAGATTGACTTTTTATTGCTCCTCTAAATTTAGGAGTTTACCCTTTTATTTTGTCGGTTGAACGAGGGTAATTTTCTTCGATATTGTGTAGATAACGTCTTACATATCGGGTTGCTTATTTCAATCGTAAGAGAAAAGAAACACAGATGAAAAAAAAAAAAACATAAAAGAGGGGAAGAAATAAATTGTTTACAATCTACAAAAGTATTTATGCCATGAAAATTTAATTCGGCATGAAGTTATTTAAAATTTGATGATATAACGTGCGTAACCGTTCTATAAATAAGAATACCGCATGTTTCTGCATGTTAAAGAACCCGAGATTGACTTTTTATTGCTTCTCTAAATTGAGGAGTTCACCCTTTTATTTTGTCGGTTGAACGAGGGTAATTTTCTTCGATATTGTGTAGATAACGTCTTACATATCTCGGGTTGCTTATTTCAACCGTAAGAGAAAAGAAACGCGGATAAAAAAAATCATAAAAGAGGGGAAGAAATACATAGTTTACAATCTACAAAAGTATTTATGCCGTGAAAATTTAATTCGGCTTGAATTTATTTAAAATTTGATGATATAACATGTGCAACCACTATATAAATATGAACACGGCATGTTTCTTGAGGAAAACGAGAGCGAGTTTTCCTTTACCAACGACGGTCGCTCTTTGTCAAATTTGGACCAAACGCCACTCTCGTGTGGGGAACGATTTTTTAAAAAATATTTTTCAGAAATGCCGAATTTTCCGCGAAATATGCCGAGCCCAAATAGGAAATGTAGTCTCTTCTTCCACGGCGGCCGACGCCCCCTTTTTGGCCGGCTTGAAAAAATTGGAAAGGGGTGACGTCATCTTGTCAACCACGGCACACGCAAGCACACGGTAAGACAGCATGAGCTCTCCCTTCCACACCGTTGAATGAACATAATCAAGCCGGCCCGCGTTGACCCTGACTCCGAGGCGTCCATCTTGATGACCCGAGCCAACCGCAGACTCGGCAGCGTCATCGATGGCGAGCTAGAAAAACCTTGAAGTAACTGTATATTATATAGTTTCCATGTTGTGAAATTTTCGTGCGAAACTTTGGTCTCGCCACGGGATTTTGACGAAGGAGCTTTTTCAGCATTAGAACTTCCATCTTTTACTATTCTAACGTTCTGGAATCATAAAGAATTTATTGAAATTGGTTTTTTTTTACCGTTATTGTGTGGAATAAGATTTTCTCATAAGTGTCGATTTTGACCGTGCTTTCTGCGATAATTTCAAGCTCATCAGAAAGTTGGAGTGATTCGGTCCGCGTAGGGCAAGCTTCCATTTTTGGGGGGGACGATCGAAGTTCTGTATCGACTAAAATACAAAAACTTTTGCATGTGTATTTCGAACCAGCGAGACTTTGCTGGTTCTCTAAAACTTGTTCCTGATTTATTATTAATCGTTACCCTAAAATACAGGAACTTAAGTTTAACCCGGATAGAATCTAAAAAGGATATGGACGAGGACGTAAAGGCGCCGTCGGCAATCCGCAATCTATACCTAGATCGAATGCTTGGACGCCCAAGCTTCGAAGGTTTCGACAATATGACGGGTTTTCATCGGGACAAATGAATTTGCCACTAGGATGCTGGTTCGAAATGTCTTCATTTTTGTCTCCAGCTTTCCATGTGGAGTTGTAATTTCTCCATTGATCACGTGCGTACTCGGCTCCATGTATTTAAAGACGAGAATGGGCGGTCGAACAGTTAGAGAGGAAGTCGAGGAAGACGTGTCTACGAGTTGTCTATTCTTTTCTTACTAGAATACCTTGTTTTGACTGTAGCGGCCCGAGATAGGAGAGGAGAAAGCCATTCGGGACAAAAGCTTTCACGAAAACAGTCCAATCGAAAAATTCCAACATCTTATGTTACGAAAGAGGACGACGGGAGTATCATCTTTATCTACGGGTAGCATCAAAGGATTTTCTTGTTACCAAAAGAGCAACGGATGATAAAAAGTTCGTATGCTTTTCTTGGCAAGATCCTCTCCCAACTCTTTAACGAAATCTTCAATGTAATCTTCTTTACATCGTATGATTGATCTCTCTCGTGTTTTGGGGAATCATGGGGGCTGTCCGGTAGACGACAAGGGGAAAGCCAAATATACCGAGTCAAACCTTCACGATGGTTGGCCAGAGAGGGGGTCCAAAAAGGCTACTAGGAAACACCCAAAAGACCACTGCTTCACGATCTTTCTTGCCGGGCCATCTCTCTCTCTCTCCTCTCAATCCGAAAACGAAAGAACCAGGAACCCCACAAACAAAAAAAAATGGCCAGAAAGGCAAAAAGGGTAGAGAGAGAGAGAGAGGGGGAGGTATCCTAGAGTTGGGTCTGTTCTTTTTCTTGTTTCTGCGCAGGATTAGTCTGAATCTTGGGGAGGGTTTGCTGTTTGGAGCAACTTGCACCGATCTTCACGGCTGAGAAGAGTTACTGGGTTCTGGGAGAGACGGCACGAGATCTTTAAGTTATCTCCTTTAAGGGGGAGCTCACGGACTTGGTGCTGTTCTGTTCAGATTCTCTGCACCTGGAGAGAGAATAATATAGCTCTGTCTTTACAAAGGTTTGTCTGCTGGAGCTGAATATTCAAGCTTTTCTTGTTCTTGATGGGTGTTTGTTGGAGCAATAGGATCAAGGCCGAGACTCCTAATCACACAGGTAACTAACTACTGATCTGTTCAGCTTCTTCGGAAGCTTGTTTCTGCTGGGTTTTTGCTCAATAACTTTGACTTGGTTTCTGAGCTTATCTTGGTTAATCATGTAAAGAAGTAGGCTCTGTGGTTGGTACTATCTTGGGTTTTCACTGGTTTTCTTGAGTTTAGTCAAGGATCCTCTTGTTTGACACAAATTGCGTAAGATTTGGCTGTTATGATTTATGGGTAGTGGCCGATGCTGAAGTTGCTAATGTCAGGTCTAAGAGGTGTTGAATATGTGATCCCAGCTAGAGCAAATAAATGACCTCGGCAAACGCGTGGTGTAGATTTCCACTCGTTAATTTAGAATGAGATTTGGATCTTCCAAAATAGAAGGGAAGGATGGTAAAGAATTCCCTTTGGACTTGGATTTGAATTTTATAAAATGTCTTGCCGGCGGTAGTGCCCTACGGATCCTACTTTCATGAATAAATTCATTTAGATAATGAGAATCTATACTTGGAATGATTAGTTAATTTGGGCATGAAAGATACAAAACCGGGCTGAAAGACTATGTTGTTTCGTGGAAGGAGACTACGTGCGTGTCAGGCTCATTGCCATCCCGCATTTAAGCATTGTGGATACACATTAACTTGGACTAAGGAATTAGTCTGCCATGGTCCCAAACTCAAATATACAAAATGGAACCTTCGTTTTTGTCGTAGACTTACTGAGTTGATGCTTGGAAATGATGTATGAGCAGGGGTGAACTCTAAAAATGTCAGCCATGATGGGAACGACTTGAGCGGCAGAATCTCTTCTGCTTCTGGACCTCAGACTCCCCGAAGCGAGGGTGAAATCCTTCAGTCTTCTAATTTGAAGAAATTCAGTTTCAGCGAACTGAGAACGGTTACGAGAAACTTTCGCCCAGACAGTGTGCTCGGAGAAGGTGGTTTCGGGGCAGTTTTCAAGGGGTGGATCGATGAGCAAACGTTGGCTCCTGCCAGGCCTGGGACCGGCATGATTGTTGCGGTAAAGAGGCTAAACCAAGAAGGGTTCCAGGGACACCGTGAATGGTTGGTAAGTATTATCTCCTTCTCATAACCTTATGAAGCTTTTGTTTCTACGGTGCAATCCTCCTTTCCAGTTTCTAATTCACGCAGACTCCTGTGAGTTTTATTAAGGTTTTTCTTTTTAGGAATTTTAGTAACAAATGCCTCCAGGGCAGTTGTTAAACACCTCAACAAAGAAAGTTTGTCATCTTCAAGGCATTGTCTTTTTCTTGTCAAGTGTAATCGGCGTATTTGTCTCTGTCAGAATGTAATCCATGTGTTTGAAATGGAAACATTTGCTTATTAAGACTGCATTTGTTTAGCAAAAAATGAATGATTGAAAAATTATTTTCCTGTAAATGATCGCTTGTATCGCTTACAAAAATGAATGAACAAAATATATTTTCATCATCCACGAAGATCTTTAGACATAAATTGTTGTTGATAATGAATTTGAAACAATACAAGCGATTATTTTTAGGAAAATGTTTTCCAAATCATTCATTATTTGCGAAACAAATGGAGCTTAAGTGTGGTTAACCAGGACTCTGAAAGCACTCGTTAACAAGACCCTTTTTTCAATCATTTGAATTTGGAAGAATTATGACCATTGAAGGATAATCTTTGTCCCCACAATCTTGATATCATAGTGCAAGCAAGCCCACAATGACATGGATTCATAGTGGTAAAGTCTAATTTTCTGTGTGATTTTGGAATATGCAGGCCGAAATCAATTACTTAGGACAGCTGCATCATCCTAATCTTGTGAAGCTGATAGGATTCTGCTTAGAGGATGAGCAGCGGCTTTTGGTGTACGAGTTCATGTCCAAGGGAAGCATGGAAAATCACCTATTCAGGAGTGAGTATCTTCCATGGTCTTGGCTTGCTTTTCTTTTTCAACCTCAACCGTTTTAGTTACTGTTGTTTTTTCCGTTGTCCCTTTTTCCCTTGTTGAGAAGCGAATATCTACTTGCCTTTTCTCATTATATATCATTGCTTGAAACAGGAGGGACATACTTCCAGCCACTTTCATGGACCGTGCGGATGAAAGTTGCCCTTGCTGCAGCTAAGGGGCTTGCCTTTCTTCACAATGCCGAACCAAAAGTTATTTATCGTGACTTCAAGACGTCAAATATATTGCTTGATTCGGTATGTGATGATGCTGTCATTTGCAATTTAATACCTTTGTCTCTGTATCTTGGTTGAAGTGCATAGTTTTGGTTCATCACTATCTTACGGTTATTAATGCCATTTGGCCTTTCTTTTCAGAACTACAATGCAAAACTTTCTGATTTCGGGTTGGCCAGGGACGGGCCGACTGGTGACAAGAGTCATGTATCTACTCGGGTCATGGGAACTTATGGTTATGCTGCTCCAGAGTATCTTGCCACAGGTACTGCTTAGCATGATCATAATCCCTCATGCAAGTGGCTATAGATCCTTATAATCAGATTCGCTCCTGTTCTTTGGAGCGGTTAGATATTTCATTTTCATGTTGAAGGAAGTCTTCCTGTCAATTGACGTATTCTTTAATCAGTTTTAACCTGCCATGGGACTGTCAAAAGTTGGCTCAAATCCTCATAATGCCTTTGGTCGACTTCTCTACTACTTTTTGCTTTGTCTTTCAAGATTCTTAAGCAAAAGCTAGAAGAGATGTGGCTGGTTTCTGATTTTAATCTCACTTTTCAATTGAAGGCCATTTGACTCCCAAAAGCGATGTCTATGGCTTTGGTGTCGTTCTTCTGGAAATGCTATCTGGCCAACGAGCAATAGACAAGAACCGACCAGCCGGGCAACACAACCTTGTGGAGTGGGCAAAGCCATACCTCACAAACAAGCGAAGAATATTCCGCGTCATCGATTCCCGTCTCGAAGGTCAGTACTCTATGGATCAAGCCCAAAAGGCGGCGTTCCTCGCACTTCAGTGCATAGCCACAGAACCCCGGATAAGGCCCACCATGGACGAAATCGTGACGTCCCTAGAGCAGCTTCAGGTGTCGAAGGGCACGAGGGGTACTCACAAGGATCGGCGGTCAGCCGGTCGCAGAAGTTCAAATGCTGCCCCAAGAGCCTGTAGAAGCCGCACGGAGGAAGTGTCTGCTGCTGCATACCCGCGGCCTTCTGCTTCCCCTCTTTATGCTTAGAGATGGAGCGCCACTGCCAGTGTGTTCTTGATGTTATTCTTTTCTCTTTCTGAGTTCAGGGCATGTAGTTTGTGTGTGCCTTCTGCCGTTTGAGCATTGTACAGTAGTTGTCTAGGCTTAGTGTACTAGGTGCTGCCTTTTGATTTGTCGATGTAAGCAAGAGTTTCCGAACGCGCGGTGGTGGAGGAACATTGTTGTAGTTTTGCCATAGTCGATTTGTTCCGTCGGTCTGTTAACATAATTGAGCTCACGCTTCTTTCCGCCTCCCTTTCCAGTAGAAAATCGTCTGAGGATGTCGCTACGATTCACTCGAGAATTTTCTGCTCGCCGCCACGCCGGGGCTGTCGGTGTAGTCCGGTTTTTGCCAGTTGAATCTTGGAGTCTCTGCGTGGTGATGCACCGTCTGAGAGGCGGACGACCTGCATCAAAAGTCATGGTTTTGGCCATCTATCACTTGTAAGTCTGCAAGGATGAGAAGGTGGATAATTTCACCAAGGTTCCGGTAGTTTTGGAACCTTTTAATTTGTTTGATCGGATCCTCGAAATTCTTTTTTCCTCAAACCGGAAATGCCGACTTGTGATGCCACGTCAATTCCATGTCAGCGCTGACTGGATCAATTAGGGTGACGTGCCGACGTGGACATCAAAAAGGAAGATTAAAGAACATTACAAAAAAAAAAAAAACACCCAGACTGAAGAAGCTGTGGTTGCGTAGCCTTGGCTCAAGCCCGGGAAGGGACGCCAGAAACCTCACCCTGCTCGAGCGGCCATGGCTATGGCAACCGCCGCAGCTCCCCCGCCCCTATTCAATTTGGAAAAAGTTCGGGAGCTACCGGTACTTTTATCCCCTGACCTTTCGTGTCTGTCACACTGGTCGTGGTCTTTGGGCCATGTATCCTCTCGATTACAAACTTTCATTTCTATTCGCGTGCAAAGAGGATTTATTTGAGACCAAAAAGTCCTACGTCTATTGTGCGACGGTAAATTCAGTCTTAAACTTTTCAATTGTGCCGATTAGTCCTGAACCTTTTGACGATTTACCAATTTAGTCTCAAATCTTTCAATTATGTCAATTCAGTTCTAAACCTTTCGAAGATTTATCAAATCAGTCATAAACCTATTATTTAGGTATTTTGCTAGATCGACACCTATTTGCAAATCGTCCAAAGGTTTAGAACCAGATCAATAAATCTTCAAAAAGGTTCAGAACTAAATTGACAAATCGTCAAAATGTTTAGGACTAAATTGATATACTTGAAAGGTTTATGATCGAATTGGCCGTCGTATGATAGATTCAAGGCTTTTTTTAGACAATTTTCTTGCTTTTTGCAATCCCACTTCCATCTCAAAACGCCATGGCTGCCTCACGAGTCATTTAGACGTGAACCTTTTGAATCGGAGGACGTGGGAATGGAGTCAGCAAAAGTCAAAATCTTCCATGCGAAGGTTTGCTTTTTTGACAACGCCTTTTCTTGACTCAGCCCTACAATGTGAAGGTTCTTTTCATCTCATAGACCTCTTCAGAAGCAAAAGAGTCATCAAACTCAAATCTGTCTTTTTTTTCGCCGCGATTTATAGACATGGAAAAGAAGGCCGTGCACAGATTCCGGCATCGGCGCTATCGGAAATGCTTTGCAAATGGAATTGGAAGGGTCGAGAATTCGCGAGCTCAAGCGGGAAAAAGATCGATATCTCGAATAATATCCAAAATTCGCTCTCTTTCTCTCTCTAACTTTCTTCATGGACCTCAATGTCCCATTCCTGCACTGCCCCCAATTGGAAAGGAAAGTTTGGGCGGCAACATGATATCCCTGGAATATTTGGTCTCCATAAGTATGCAAGTTGGACACCAAAGTCGACCTCAATATCGACAGTTCAACCGTGCTGCACGTACTAACAAATATAGCTAGATATTTTTTCGAGCTAATACCACGAAAAACCCCAAATTGGTAATGCTCGTGACAAATTTACCCCAAACTAATTTTTCGAGAATCGAAAACCCCAAACCGGGTACGCCGATGACCAATTTACCCCAAATTGATTTTTTGACCAGCAAAAACCTCAAGCCGGCACATTCGTGATAAATTTATCCTCCGTTAATTTCTATTAAATTGGATTAATATCACGAAAAACCATAAACCGGTCCCAAATTGGTACACCTGTCAACTGTCACGTGTCATCCAACTTAGCAATTTAATAGTAAAATTTAATGGAAATTGTAAATTTGTCAAGTTTGGAGTTTTTTCGTGCCATTAACCCCATTTTCCTTAGTTTATTTAACATTTTCCCTTTTGCATTTTTTACCACTTGAAGCAAAGACTTTTCATGCATGCCGAAAGTCTAATTTGATGATAAGATAAGAAGAAAAGTAGATAGACCCCCCCAGCTTTTTTTCCTTGGAAACAAAAGAAGATATGGCTTTCTCCCTTTTGTGGGGGGGGGGGGGCTTTTGGTAATTTCCTCCCGGGATGCTCAACTCAGCACCGGCCTGCTAAAAGTAAGCCAGGAAGGAATCGTAGAACTTATCAAGAAGAAAAGGCCTAATTTCCTAAAAAAATCCCAACTTTATGTTAAAGTCCAAATCCGTTCCGAACTTTTTTTTATCTTGGAAAAAATTCAAAACTTTAAGTCAAGTTCGAAATCTGCCCCGAATCTTATTTTGTGTAAAAAAATCACCAAAATTCAATTTATTTTCAAAAATATAACTCGTGATCCCGTCCCAACTTGACGTGGTACTTCCACGTCGATAACAAATCCACATCAATAAAGTAATGGGGCTTTTTTTTAGACAAAGAAAAGTTCTGAGCAAATTTAGATTAAACCTAAAAATTAGGTTTTTTTTTTAAATTAAATTTTTTTTGGGTGGATTTGTTATCGTTCATAACTTTCATATCTTAGAATGGTTTTATTTTGGAGAATTTCAGCAATTTTTATTGGGTTGGATTTGTTATCGAAGTGGAAATGGGACGTCGGTCCGTACATATCGCCCCATTACTTTGCTAATGTTAATTTGTTATCGACGTGAAAGTGCCACGTCAAGTTGGGATTGGATCACGGGGGTATATTTTTAAAAAGAAATTGAAATTTGCTGATTTTTTTTTACACAAAACAAAATTCGGGGCAGATTTGAGACTGAAATTAAAGTTTGGGGTTTTTTTCGAGACAAAAAAAAGGTTCGGGGCAGATTTGGGACTTGATCTAAAGTTTGGGGTTCTTGAGGGAATTCACCCGAAAGAAAATAAGAATGCTAACACAGAAAAGTACCCCATCAAATTCATTTTACGCGGCGCGACGATGCGCCCAACCTCCGTGCTCGACTCGAAACTGGGGATTTGCCGAAACACGGAAGCCCGTGTAGTTCAAGAGACGGAGCTAACTGAATCGGCTAAACGATTTCGACATCTTCGAAGATCGTAATTAAGGGCGTGAGAAGAACGGTCGCGACGCGCATGCCGAGACTAAGGCAGGGTGGTTAGCGTAACAGGGATCTTCCATATTTGCCAAAGAACTTCATCAAACTTGCTATTGGAATTCAATTCCGGGGCAATCGCGAGCGCGTAACGGGTCGTTGAGCTGCGATATCTCAGATTCCACATCGAACCGGCAAGATCTTATACCGTGTTATTCATAAATAAATGCACAATCCCTGATTGATCGACACCTACCTCGACTGCTCCTTCTAAGTTTGCGTAGAACACAGCCGGATTGCTAGACGAGTTACTGAGCCGTCGTTTCGGACAAACTATTTTCGACGCTGCTCATGCCCGGAGACGAATTCCGGCCAGCGACCAATCACCGCACGCTATTCATCAACGACAAACTATTTTCGACGCCGTTCATGCCCGGAGACGAATTCCGGCCGGCGACCAATCACCGCACGCTATTCGACCCCCTTATCGCTTGTCATCGTTGGTGACACGATGGCACGGCAAGTCACAAGCTTTTTTCCGACCTAATTATATCCCATCGACGTATCATCAAACTGCACAAATCTTCTATGGATAAAAGAAGTGGCAAACATAGACAAATCACAACGTCAAAAAAAACACACACATATATATACACATATATATATCATATAAATTCTTCAAATTGAGAATATTCCTATATGAATTACCCCCCAAATTCAAACCCTTTTACACAAACTACTAAAGTTTTAGCCCTATCCATAAATTTTCCCACTTCCAAAATTTTCCCAGGGAAAAATTTGGGAAAAAAACGGAAGGCGGGAGGGGGAGATATATATTCCGATTCGAAAAGCTTTCCCCGGGGTGAGCTCAGACCCGGAAGTTCTTGCCCGAGAATGTCTGGCCGAACCGCCAGTTGGCGGGGGCGACGTTCCACGAGGTGGAGGTGCGCCGGTCGCTGCCGGCGACGCGGAACGAGAGGGCCTGCCCGGCGAGGACGGCGTCGGACTGCCAGTTCTGGCCCCAGTTGCGGCTCATGCCCATCCACCCGGTCCGCGTCCCCTTCACGCTCACCCGCACCACGTCGCCCGCGCCGGCCACGTTGGTGACCAGCACCAGGTTGAAGTAGCGGAAGCCGTTGATCGTGAACCGGATCCCTCCTCGCTTCCTGCACGGCACCCTGCCGGACCAAAAAAAAACAAAAAACAAAAAAACAAAATTACAAATAATCAAACGCAGAAATTACTAAACAATGCAGCGACCGTTGAAGTCCGACCGGTAGAACCGGTAAGGAAAAGGCGGGAAACGTGGCTCGATTTCCGTCGACGTCACGCATCGGGCGGCGTGATCCGACCCGGTGTCACGGCCCACCCCGGTTTCCCGGTCAAAAACCCATTTTAATTCCTTCTTTTTTTTTTTCGAATTATAAAAAAGTTAATTGGTTTACATTAACTGAGTCGGAGGTGACTCGGGGCTGTAAAAATTTTCAAAAAAAAAGGGAGAGAAGAAAAATGACGAGAGTGCCCTCGGGCCCGAGAAGCCCAATGGGCCCAGCCCCTCGGGCCGACCCGGGAAGGCCCATGCCCGCGTCGTCCGACCCGGAAGGGGCGGGGAACGGAAAAGGGGAGGGCCCGTCGCCGACCACCGCCGGCGCCGCGCTCGTCGCGCGGGGAAAAACGGAGGGAGGGAGGGAGGGGCTGACCGGCGGAAGGTGACGGGGACGATGCCGGCGCGGTACTGGGCGATCTTGAGGAACATGGGCATGGCGAGGTCGAAGTGGGGGCGAGGCGGGTTGCACCACCCGCCGTCGTCGCCGGGGAGGGCGAGGTTGGGCGGGCAGAAGTTGGTGGCCGTCACCGTGACGGCCGGGCTCCCCGGGTTGCACCAGCGCGGGTCGTCGGCGCACCGGATCTCGAAGCACGCCCCGCAGCTCAGCCCCTCGTTGAACAGCGCCGTGCTCAGCGCCGCCGTGTTCACCCCGTACCCCTGGCTGTACAGGTCCCCGTACCCGCAAGCCCCGCCTGCCACAACACAATGCGTACGCGTTAAAACTCTCTTTCTTCCCTCTCTCTCTCTTCCTTAAAAACAAAAGACGAGACGGCGCCGGGGGAGGAACCCAGAATTGCTCGGAACTCCTCCCGAGGACTGTGAAGGCGTACCCATGGTGCCGGAGGCGTCGCTGCCGCCGTAGAAGGTGGCGTGGCCGCTCTGCCAGGCGCCGCCGGTGTAGGCGCCGGGGATCCGGGCGGTCGCCGCCGCGAGGAGGGAGAGGAGGGCGGCGGCGGCGCAGAGCGCGATCGCACGAGCCATTTGCCTTCCCCTCTGTTCACACACGCGCGAGGGCAGAGCGAGCGAGAGAGAAGCGAGTGGGGAAGCTGGAGGGAGGAGGTGGTGGGGGGGCTACTTATGGCGAGGGCCGCCAGGCTATTAACTTTGGCTCGATACGTAACGTGATGTCTCAACTTTTAATTTATTCAACGTGGTATTTGAACTTTTGATACAAGTTCAATGTAATCCCCGAACTATATTGAAAATGTTCGATTAAAGTTCCGGGACCGCGTTGAAAAAGTAAAAGTACGGGGACCGTATTGAAGACCGAGCTAGAGTCCAGAGTCTAAATTGAGCAGATTAAAAGTTCGGGGACCATATTACGGACGTTCGACTAAAGTTAAATGAGATTGACCGTGTCATTTTTCCAGTTATTAATGATCCCTTCCTTTTTCTCCTCGCAGATCTACCTATGTTGCTAATTTTTTATTTTCTTTTTGGCTACGCTTTGTCTACTTTTGCTTCTTCTTCTTCTTTTTTTCATTTAATGTCGGTATGGGGATTTAGTTTCTTCGATAATAAGTTTATTTTTTTTTTTCATCATTTTTTTGACAAATAAATTTTTTTTTATAATTTTTTGGGCAGTGTGGGGGGTGGGGCGGGATGGCCAAGGGGGTGGGCCAGCATCGACCCATGCATGCTTAATTGCTTAGGGTGGCCGGAGACCAACGAGATTGTCATCAAGATGACATTTAGGCCCAACATGAGAGCCTGCTGCTCCACAATAGTGCCCGAGCTTGGCGGCCCGCCGTCGCCTCGTGGCATTCGGGTCGGGAGCGCAAGGCCCGTGACCGGTCTCCCCGGGTCGTGATCAGGCGTACGACGGCTCGATCCGCTCGGTCGATTGAATTCGCGGGGGCTGCGAAATGGGAACGGGGATCCGTGCACCGAGCAGCGAAGTTAAGGCACGGGGTCCGGCGAACCGCTCGATGACGGGAAATACGGAGAGATGATACGGCGGGCATGGGCATTTGCACCTGCAAATGCTAGGAAGCATCCTGACTTTAATCTGTAAAAAAAAGGGTTCCATATCCTGCTTTCGAAAAGCATCGATGCGCGAACTTCCACTTGCTTTGGTCCTTCCTAAATCAAACGCTAGACATCGTTCACTTACAACTTTCGCAACCATTACACCCTTGAGTTTTACTTGGAAGACCAAAATGATCATCCCTAAGTTTTCCATCCGTGCCGACCGGATTGCTCGAGATCGTCGGTTCGGGATCCTGAGCGTCGGTTCGGGGGGCAAAAGCGAACTCAATTCAAAGAACCTCGAATGTCTCGATTTCTAGGATCGCGCATCTCTCTTCTTCTCGCTCTCTTCTCCTCGCCGAAACGGACCGAGCCCTCAATATGGACGGCTAAGGAGGGCATTAGTTCGCGAGAAATGGCATCAATTCACCTTTCCTGCCCTATGGCCTTTCGATTTGCGTACTTTATGCCTGCGCCTACGGCTTTTCTTGCGCACCGTGCCTCCGTAGATTTCGCCGGAAAAACAATAAAATCATAAACGTCAAGATCCGGATCCGTTAAACGATCGAGATTCATTGAATGTCGATCTAAACCACAAAATATCCACAGGGCGCCGCCACCACGATTTTGTACCTCCGTCCGGCCACCCCGTCAGTAATTTCCGATGCCACGTCAACTTCCGGGGACGCGATATCTAGCGACGGGTCAATTTATCTTTCAAGTGGGAGATTCACTATATATTTTCACAGATTTTTGCTGGGATTTGGCCTGGAAATATGGGGTAAAAGAAAGAGGCCGGAAACCCGAACGACGCGTTTGAGATGTAACCGCGCGCCTAGAGACTAGCAATCCCCCACCGGCTTATCGTCGCTCCACAAGAGTTCACTTATTATTAGTCACCATGCATGATGGGGTCCATGAAATAATTAAGTTCGTTTCGAAAAAAAAAAATGAACGGAACAAATCGCCCGTATTTATTAAGGTCGATCGGTTCTCGCTCCAGTTCTCAAAACCGGAGACCTAGGATCGGGAACACCGGACCAATGGAACCGGTCACTTAGGATTTAGTTTGCATTTTACTAATTTTTGCCAGTGAATTTATGTAAATGAAGTTTACTTGCGGTTTAGTTCACATTTTATTAATTTTTTTGATGGAAAAAAATTTAAAAAAGTATATGTAGTCGGTCCGGTTCCCCCCTTGGAATCGGGAACCATACCACATCGATCGGTTTGGTCCAGTCTGGGCGATTCTCGATTTGAGTGGTCCGTTTTGCACACCCCTAATATTTATGTCAATGTTTTCATTATCAATAATAATTTATGTATAAACATTTTCGTGAATAATGAAGATATTTTTTTATTAATTTATTATGCAAGCGATTTTATTTATTCATTTTTCGCGAAATAAACGCACCCTAAGTTCAGGACATATATGTGTATGCTTTTTTTTTTGTTACACCGCAGGTAAACTTAACAAATAATCATTCAAAGATTATCTCTAATATTTATTGAACAAAGTATAAATAGTTTTTGTATTTAATTTGTCCACGTTTAATTTATATTTTTTACGATTAGCAAATGTTACTTAAAAAGAACGAAAGTCGAACTCGGTATGGCCGCGCAATTCACTTTGTTTTCCATGAATTATCAACTAAATTGACTAGTTAGACCACTCATATTGTATTAAGGGTTAATACCACAAATATTCAAACCGGTAAACCTGTTACAAATTTACTCTGAACTGATTTTTTGACCACAAAAAATCTCAAACTGATACACTTACGACAAATTTACCTTCCGTCCATAAATTGGTAAATATGTGAGAAACGGAGGGATAAACTCTAAATTGGTACACCCGTTAAGCCACGTGTCATTCAACTCAGTAATTTAACGGTAAAATTTAATGAAAACTGACAAAGGATAAATTTGTCATAGATGTACTAGTTTAGAGTTTTTGGTGATCAACAAATTAGTTTGAGGTAAATTTATTACAGGTGTATCAGTCTGGGATTCTTTGTGGTATTACTATTAACATTTGTATTAACAAATAATGAATAAATTTTTTTAAAAATCGATCATTGACAAAAAAAAAAAAGAAAAAGCAAACAAACGTATTCGCCGAAAGGCCGATCGTTCTCGAGTTGCACCGTCGATTCGTGCGGCGGTGTCACCTCATGTCATGCATGCACGACGCCGTGGAAGCCCATGTGCTGCCCATTCACGGTCTTGCTCCCTCATCCTCAACCTCTCTAGTCAATAACATGACTTTTCTTTTTTTGGTCGGAATATAACATGACTTTTCATTCAGGGCAAAAGTTACCAAAAGTGTCGAATCATGCCCATTGCCATACATTTATTTTAAATTTTTTCTCTGCGATGCGAAAATCTCAAACTTGTACCGTCGCGAAACATGAAGTTCCGTCGATGAGGACCGTTAAAAATCTACTTACGTCGATGCCGGAAAGCAAACATTGCTGGCATGCACGCTCACGTGACCTAAGTGAAATAAAAATGACGCCGTTTTGACTGAAAAATTATCTGACGGGACCATGATGAAGGGTAAACGCGTCGCATAAGTTTGTGGCTTAAGTTTAGGGTAAATATGTTACGGTGAATATAGCTTGGAGGTTTTTATATCACAAAAAAAAAAAGTTCATGGTAGATGCATCACAATGACCATAATTTAGCATTGTTTTTTTAGCTGCTTTTTCCCTTTTAATCACATGTATTATTTATTTTTTTTCTTCCCTATTTGAACCACCTTATCCATCCAAAAAAATAATAAAGAAAGAAAATTAAATCCATGGTGCCCATGTGATCACCGAACCAAGAATTTGGCAGGTTGCTCTAAATTATCAAATTTATAGCCCCCCACTCCCCATGTGCCTTCACTTATTGTTTGCCTTGTCTCTTCTCCAATCGCCATTGCGTGCACGCTTCCTAGGGTTTCCCTCTTTTGAGATTGTAAATTTGCAATGCACATCGTCTCCTTTTTTGCTCGTTTCTCTCCTAATCGATGCACCTTAATCCGAATTCGAGCCGAGTCATGACATGATACCGATCGTGGCAACACGCGACATCTAGAAAAGTTAGATATGTTGGAGTACTCCCGGTTGGAGTACGCAGGCCACGGCGAGGAAAGAAATTAGGAGTTCGGCGCATCGTGGCGATTGAAATCAAAGTTCAGAGGCTCGATTGCGGAATGTACCTTTCTAGAAGCCAATCTGATCTTTACCTTAACTTTGTCTAGGTTCTAAGAGATTCGTCTCGATTCGTTGCCCTTGTTAATATTTACTCTCTTCGTGGAACTCTATTTAGATGGCCTATTATGTACAAGCCCGAACGAAATTGTTTCTTAAGCTCGATGGTTTGATTGTCGAAATATTGCCCGCTCGGCGTTCCACCATTTTCCTCCTTTTCAACGATTCCAAATCTATCGTGCTACGCGCTTCCCTTCTCCATCAATTGGTGTCGGAGTTGGATTCATACTTCACCATCTGGTATCGGAGCGAGTTCTTTGTCTCTTCGTCAATTATTATCAATTCTTGTTCCGTTCTACACCACAGCACCGAAGCAATATCTATTAGGGATAATGACACAAACAGTCCCTGAACTTTGACCCAATGTGCAATTTGGTCCCTGAACTTTTAATTTATTCAATGTAGTCCCTGAACTTTAGCCTAATGTTCAATTTGGTCCTTGAACTTTTAATCTGTTCAATGTGGTCCCTGAACTTTTAGCACATGTTCAATTTAGTCCATGGACTATATGAAAATGTTCAATGTAGTCCTTGCACTTGAATTAATAGAAGGACTACATTGAACATTTTCAAATAGCTCAGGGACTAAATTGAACACATACTAAAAGTTCAGGGACCACATTGAACAAATTAAAAGTTCAGGGACCAAATTGAATATCAGGCTAAAGTTCAGGGACTACATTGAATAAATTAAAAGTTCAGGGACCAAATTGCACATTGGGTCAAAGTTCATGGACTGTTTGTGTCATTTTCCCCTATCTATTACGCATTATTCGGTATCAGAGCAACTTTCGTCTTCATCAATTGGCACTCGTGCAACATATGCACATTATTGTTGTCCATTCTAATAATAATGATAGGGGATCATATGAAGTCTTGATCTAGCAAATAATTGCTCGATTCCCTAAGTTTTCTCTTGCGCACAAGGCTACTAGCCTAAAGCCATGTGAGAGCGCATGAGAAATGTGGCTGCATCTATGCAAGGCTTGCTCCAAATTTAGGGAAACCCTACGGTGCCAATCACAAGACAACTTCATCTCGACCACGTGAAAGTCACGATTGTTGATTAATTACAACCTAAATTCTGAGTGCATGAGAGAGAATCTGAACGTTAAATTGTAGTGGGTGTGAAATAAAATCAACTTACGAACCGTGTTTAAGAAAAAATTAGTCCTTTTTGTAATGTCAATGGGTATCCGAGACTTGCCGAGTATTCGAGTAATCTCTGCATTGGGGCGTGACACTATCCCGTCCCACATGAGCACCGGATGATTGCTCGAGCCACATATGTCTATGCTCTTAGGGCGGCCCCAAGAGAACGCGAAAGCGTAATGATTCGAACCCGTGTCTCGAACGAGGAAGACGAACACGTGTACCGCTCGAGCAACCCTGATTAATAAAGAATTAGCTGGTTCCATCATGGAAGTAGCTTAGGTCAGAGAGAGCTGAAATTGACAACTTGCAAACGCGAATTAACTCCACCATCTCATAATGAAATCAAGGCTTCTTAGAAAGAGTGAATGTTTTGGACATGAATGGTGGGTCAATGGCATTTGAAGGCTAATCATAGATGTACTATGTCTATGATTGATGAAATTATTGCCTTTTCCACCTCCACCATCAACCGTAGAATGATGAGAGTTAAGGTGGTAGTTTGGTGCTATTTAAGTTGTCTAACTCGTAGGCCCAAACATTGCAAATCCACCGCGTGATTTATGTTGGTCACGGATCATAATCCAAGTATTCGTGAAGCCCTAAAACTCAGTCCGACTCAAGTCGCTTTCTGGTATGCTTTTCATAAGGGAGAAATTAGGAATAAGGTAGAGAATCAGTGAAACTAGCTCGCGGGTTTGAGAGATAGAGGTGAAGTGCACATAGATAGTCGAACTGCTACGCCGAAAGGAGAGATCTAGACGGTCTCGCCATCTCGATTCTACGGAACTAGGCATATATGCACGAATCTGAGTCGCTAAAACAACTTTTAAAAAAAAACCAAAAAGAGAAAAAAGTTCCATTTTCATGGTACCTCCGTTTTAGTATCCAAATGGTCATGTAATATGCTTTTCCCCTGAAAATATATAAACTGACCAACATAAGTTGCTGAAGAGTCAAAGTTACAATGGTGCTCCATCGGCTCTGCCAAAATCTAGCCTCAACTCACCTACATCGACTTGGCCAAAATCTCGATGCAAATCCGCGGTCAGCCCTGCTAGTGCACTCGCCCTTCCGGCCTCCCCCTACGATCTCCCGTCGGCCTCGGCTGGGGTTACCATGGAAAATTGCAAACCTCGATGACCAAAGTTGTCCATGGCGTTCCCGACCTCATTCAGAGGTCGCGATGCCATGGGCAACCTGGAACGGAGGTCATCCAGGAGTGATGCAATGCGCAGAAAGAAAGAGAGAGAGTTATATTGGTTTGATAAATTAGATTTAATGTATCTAACATTACTTGAAAAGGAGAATTGTTGTTGCCAATTGTCAATTGCTCTTGCTGTGCACAACCTTCGTGAGAAGAAGGGCCAAATTTAAGAGGTGAGACGTGCTTCTTAGGTTTGCATAAACCAGATTCGTGTCTAACATTGACCATAAGGGTCTTACGTGAGCTCCGTACATAATTAAAAGTTCAAATTGCACTTGTTTATGAATTGCGATTTCCTTTTGTATCTTTCTTGCGTTCCAATCTTGTAATTTCCAAAAGCCTCTCGGTCTTCCAATCATTCGTCTTTTATATCTTTCTTGTGCTCAAATCTTATAATTTTCGAACGTCTCTCGATTGTCCAATGACTTATCTTTTTACAATAGTACAACTTCCTAAATCAAAGTTCAAAAATCAACCTTAGTAGAGCCCAAATCGACCACTTCAGCACTTTATTCGAGATAGATTCTACTTCGGCCATATACTGAGAAGACGACCCAATTTTAGAACCTTATTTGAAAATTTTCCTTTGATTTTTCACATTAAGAACGGAGCAAAAAGGTTGGATGCCTCGTGTCATGACAAAGAAACATTGATTTCATCTTTTGAAATTGACATTGAACCCATCATATAGATTAATGGATAAGCCTATGCTGAACCAGCATGCTACAAGCCGACACGAATTTTTTATTATTTATTATTCGGGACCGACAGAAATATATTGATAAGTGTGCTTTGACCGATCTTTAATCACTATTTATTTTTTTTATTTTATTTTGGTCAAATAATTACTCTTCATTTAGTTGCTGGACTTGCGTATGTTTTCCACACTCAGATCTAACTTACCATAGGAAACCATTTGTATATTTGTTTATAGAGTGATTGAACAAGGATTGATTTGATTCTTTTTTCTAAGCAAATGCCAGTACAGAATCTGCACTTTCACCGTACCCCTTGAAGTACAAAAATTTTCTTCACAATCACTTCAAATTGCATGTCCTCCTAAAAGATAAAAAGAGTCTCGCATATTAATTTATTTATTGGAATTAGAAGGCATAGCTCCATAGGTTGTCAACAATGGATAATATGTACAATCTCCTGCGCGTGACTGATATTAAATTCACGTGGAAACCGAATTAAAATATGGTTTGACTTAATCACCCATCTTCGCTTTGTGAATAGAAATTTTGCAACAACTTTTTAACAAAATGAAAGCTGGAGTTTTATTTATATATTATAGAGCTCACAACGTCAGTGACCAGCTCCAAAATGTCAAGATGGCCTAAGAAAATACGCGAGCATGATGATTCGAATCCACGCATAGAGCGAGGAAGACGAAGGCGTTTCCCACTCGAGCAACTCCGATGGAGTAAAGAAGTGATCAAATTTACCCCATGGAAGTAGCTAAGGCCAGAGAAAGCTGAATAGACACAACTTGCAAACATGAATTAAGCCCCCGCCATCTCATAAATGAAAGTAACACTTCTTCAATGAGTCGGTGTTTTGGACGTGAATGGTGGGCCAATGGCAATTTGGCGGGTGCTTCTGCTTTCTTATTTTTTCTGATACATAAAAAAGCTGCAAAGATGTGCTTTTCTGGTACATATCGAAGGCTAGTTATTGATGTACTATGTACATTGTTCCCGAAATTGTTGTCTTTTCCTCCACTTGCATCATCAACCATAACATGATGTGCTGTTCGTTGGCAGGCATCCGACATGTATCTCCCGAAGGTGGCACATGTGATGCATGTGTTCGCCGTCGGTGAAAATTTGATGGATTAATGAGATCGGACCTTATTAAAAATAAGATTCACTTCGAACCCCTTTTAAGAGAACGATCTCACTTGAGAATCTTATTTATAAATTTTTCTTGATTTCACCTCGAGAAACGGAGTGAAATGGTCGGATGCCTCGTGCTACGGAAAAAAAAACATTACTGATTTCACCTTTGTTATTTCAAAGATTAGATTGACATTTAGTAGGGAATGGAAGACATATAGTTAACGAGTGTGCTTTGACCGTTCAAACATTCGCTATTTATTTAGCAGCTGGTCTTTCCTATGTTGCTCCACCAGAGATCTAACTTACCTTTTATTAACATGTAGATGCTCAATATTTAAATTTGATCCTTTGAATATTTTGTTCATAGAGGGAATTGCGTATCGATTAATTCGATTCTTTTTTTTCAAAGCAAATGCTAGTACAGAATGCGCACCTTCGCCATACCCCTTGAAGTACAAAGAGTTTCTTGATAATCAATTTGATTTTTTATGTCGTATCGAAAAGGCCTTCACGTATTATTAGTTTATTTATTGGAATTCGAAGGCATCGCTCATTCGGTCGTCGACATTGCGTAATGTATATCCTCATCGACGGCAGCAGTGACAACCTATTCCTTCTAGCGCTCTCGACTAGTTTGGCCCGCAAGGTTGTTGAGCACTTCCGTGGACAACTCAGCGACAAAACCATTGAAATTGTCTCTCTTTATTCGAAAAGAATCGCCTTCGGAGCGAGCCGTCGTCATGGACGAGGAGAACCGACCCCGTGAGCACAATTCATGGGGACGAACACCAGAACAAGTAGAAAACTCATTTCGGTATGTGTTCTTTCTGTTTGAAACGTTCTCAAAAGACCCTAGAAGTCACAGAAGAGATTCAAAAAGGCCAGTTCACAAGCATATAAGTCGTGATCGTTCATGTCATTGGGGAAAGCAGGAGTTTGGGACAGAACTTCATTCCAGAAGACTAAAACTCAAGCAGACTCAATGGTACGATCATGTAATAGCCCTTGGAAGCACAAGGAAAATAGCTCTGCTTTGCTTTCTCGACTTGTCTTCCTTTTGGCTTACATCAATCGTTGTATATTACAGAATCGATACAACAAAAGAAATGGATTTTCCAAATCTTGCTAGCCAAAATTTGCGCTCGACTTTCCGCACGCCCTACCACCTCTTTCCAACGCAGAAGTTCGGGAGCAAATTTACTGCCAGATGCACTAGAATGAATGAATGAATGAAGAATGCCATCACCTGTTGGAAGTGAGAAGCGTCCGAGACAGTGTAAGGTGAATTTTCTTTTATTTTCCTAATGGAGCAAGATGAATTACCAACCGCAAAGACAATCTAACTCTCACGGTCAGCCCGCTTCTGCTGATTACTCCAAAGCGCCCATCGAGAAAGCACAGCAATGTGAAGAAACTCGTTGAAAAGATGTTTCGCCCACAAAAGCTCATTATATGTGTAAAGTGAGTCATCTGAGGTCTGCTGGCTTTGGGTTCCCAATTTTCTGTCAGTGGGTGATAGCAGCAACTCAGAAAAGAATCACTCTCTGAATTCATGTTGATAACAATGAGAACAGAAACTTGCTTTCTGATAATCAATCATGGACTCCCAACGTGACGAAAAGGTGTTGATAAGCCGTCGAATATATCTCTGTATGCCTCAAATGACCTCCCTGAGAGAAAGAAAATCGTCCCGTGGATGAGATTCTTCCACCCGAACTACTATTTCATCCCCAATGTCCCTCCCCACAGACACCCATGCCGAAGCTTGAAGTCCGACCTGAAACATAGTCCCAGATATTACTCAACAGAAGCATTCTTATTCTTACACGATAGGAATGTAATGACGGCCAGATAGCAAATCGAAATTACACCATTCCAAAAGGATTGCAGATACAACTCCGCGAAAATCAAAAGTACTTATAGGAGATTGCCATGGATCTTTTGTATCAGCTAACAATACTTTCTCAAAGGAAAATAACCTTATTTAGAAATATTAAGACCAATTCCATTTAGTTTTAGGTTGGGGTGCGGCAAATCTACCATGTGACGTCATAATGAGTTCCCCAACAAACTAGACAAGATGGTTTTGTCATATTAAAATAAGTATCCAGCCAAACGTAAATGATATAGACACAGTTGCTGTCCCATAGTCTGAGTGGTTCAGCTTCAGCCACTTCGCCACCTTCTATGAGAAAATCCTTGGATCCTCCCATGCCACACTGCTGTCGTAGACACGGTTTCGCTCAGAAATGAATAATAATGCACTACAAAGCAGTCACCTTCCCCCACCCCTTCCTTTTGTGATTATCTTTCTAAAATTTCCTTCCCTATATAGGGTTTGGCAATCAGACAGGCTCATCCACAAACTGACCCTTACCAGTCTAGATAGGTTGACATTCATATAGAAGGCAGATCTTCAAAAACACATGCTCAGTTCCTAAATCCTAACACTGAAGGGCAGGTTTAAGGTTAAAGATTCTAGTTAGCCATCTGAACCGACCCAGGACTTGGAGTCATAAGAATAAAGAAGTTAAAACTTACTCTGTTAAGAGGGTTAGACTGATTGATAATAAAATTTAAACTTGCATCTACTTGTAGAAGAATGCGACACTCTTCAAATCTGATTATTCGTACAGCGCATTAAACCGAAACTATAAAATGAAAAGGTCCTTACCCTATTTTCTTTTTCAAAAAAATGAAAAAAATATTTTCCTTGTTTGAGAAAGATAATCATCTCAATGGCTAGATGGAAACTGAAAAGAGATAAATCACCCATCATGCCATCCTCATAAATTTCTCAGCTCAACTGAATAAACCATACACTCCAGCATCTAGTAAATCAATGTCAAGGATCTACCACAATAATTCCAAGTGACAAACCGTTTTAATTAAGCAATTCAAAGGCAAATAACAAGCGCTCGGTAGATCTTATTAATGTTAAATATGCTCATTTGTCTCACACAGGCATAGATATATGTAACATAGAGGAGATGATGAACTACATAATCACAAGACGCAGAAGTTGCGAAGGATGCTCACCTCAACCAACAATAATGCTGCAATTCTGTCTTTAATAAATCTTAGAATCAGTGCATGATATCTCTTTTCCTTTGGTTGCCTTCTCAAAAATTCCAGTATCCAATAACGGAGACTCGTGTTGCAGATCTTCTTAGCAAGCCTAGCATTCATATTTACACTTGATGCAATCCCTTCAAGCTGTCCAGCTGAAAAAGGGAGAGATTCACCTCGAAGAAATGCCTTCAACTGCACAAGTGGACAAATCTAATTTCAGAAACCGGATAGCCCCTCAGCCAGGATAAATAATACAGGTTAAAATCCTCTACAATTCTTCTGTGGCTAAAACAATGACAATAAAATCACACTAGAGAGAAAAATCAAGAAAGTAGTGCTTTGAAGCAATCTCCTTAATCCTGGTGAAATTATGCTTCAGAGTCCATTTACAAGATAATTATTTCCTCTTTTTTGGATAAATAAAGAGAAATTCACTATTAGGCACCATGTGGGGCGATAATGCATTCACAAAAAAGAGCTTGAGGACTGTAAATTGCCATACTATGAAAAATATCTTTGCGAACAATGCATTGCATGGGAACACAGCTTGTTAAATCCATTCTTACTTATATCACAAAGGATAGCATGTTTTCTTAATATTCCACAACAAGCAATTACAGTGAAATAGACAACACTACCAACTGAATAAGTGCTACACTTCCCTTCCGATGACCCTTTCAACTCCCAGAAGCTTGACCATATAATTAATCATGAACTGAAATGCTTAGGTGCTTCTTGAGTCCTTTCTCCATTGTAATAATAAGCAGGAAAGATGGCTAAGGCAGAGTATAGTGCTTCTATATAAAATTTCTCCTTTTGTGGCCATTTTGTTTTCTTGACTTTTCATTCTTAATGGCAGGGTTCGGAATTCAGTGTTTCAAGTTTTGCCAACTTCTGTGAGGCTGATTAGAAATTAACGAAAATAAAAGAACTCACCTGATAATGAGCAAGAAGGTCCATATATCTACGGATAGGAGATGTAAATTGAACATAACCAGGAATTCCAAGAACGCCATGGCGTATGGGCTTCCTGAAGTCAAATTCTGCGGCACGCATAATCTTAACCAAAGCAGAACTCCTAACTGGTCCTTCTGGAAGGTGCGAGAATGCAGATACATCGATATTCGATTGTGGCTGCCCTCTGTAAGGCAAGGGAATGTTGTTTTGAGAACCATAGGAGGCTATAACTTCGCCGCAGAGTATCATCATTTCAGAGACAAGTCTCATTGCAGGGTCAGCTTGGTCTTCCACATAGAGTTTAATTTCCGGTTCTGGCTCCTCAGGATCAGGCACCTTTACGCGTGTTTCCAGAGTTGCTGTGTCTATTGCACCCTAAAAGTTTCAACAAATTAAATTTGGAAGAACGTGATAAATCAAGTCAAGTGAAGGAAAGGTTACTGCAGATTTACATATATATAGTCACTCTCAAGTCTAGATGTTCTAGAAGCACATACAAATCTATTCTTACATCTATCTTTCAAACCCGGGCCTGATCGATGAGAAATGGTATCAATTCAGGAAAGATAGATGAATGATACAAGCAAACTGTTCTTGAGCAATGTTTGGTTTTTTATACCACAAAACCAGGAAAGACTGTTTTGACACATTAACTCACTAGACACAAAGGGTTTCTTGTTTTTCTGGCTTGGTCATTTTCAAAACAGAACGTACTTGCTTTAAGAAATTCATTATTTGATTCATTGATCAATTTTATGCATTCTAATAGTGGAATAAAACCTCATATATATGACAACTAATTACACTAATTCAACCAAAAACCTAAGATTCAACCAAAACAGGTTGAAGCACTCTCAAGAATACATAAGATCCTCCAGAAATTTTACATTCATCATCCTTGAAATGAAGTAGTCAATACTATCAGATATATCAGGCCAACCTGTTGTCGACGCCATTGCAGTCGAAGAGTGGCTGCCTCTGATAGAATTTTCAATTCAATCTCCTCTTCTAAGCTCAGATGAATCAGCTCAGATGCACTCTCATAGGTCAGCATATACGTTGGTTTGATGATAGAATTATCAACTGCGAATTCTGCAATGCTATAGCACCACAATTTGAACTGTGTTATCATCTCTTGGAAATTCAAAATCCACAAGTTGACCACAAACAAGGAATGGAACACCCTATTACCATGAAGATGATAAATTTGAAGAAAGTAAACTAACATATATATTCATAGTTCAGATAGTGAGATAAGATTCCAGCTGTGTAAGCATTTGAATAATCCTCGTATATGGCAGTGATGGGAGGGGTCCCAGGAAAAATTAAGGGTCAAAACTCTGAGGGTTACCTCTTTTACCCACTTAAATGATTCCATATCATGATGTTCTTGCTTTTAACCGCACATAATCCAGAGGAACAAAGTACATACTCCTCTTTTCTTACAATAGTAAGACAATCGACCATAAAATTAACAAGCTCCAGGCCTGGAGTTATCACGGATAAATGGGCCAAAAAACCCTAGAGATTACCTTCCATCAGAGTGCAGGACAACAGAAACAGTAACGGCATTGCAGAGCTCTCCTTGTTTCAAACTCATTCCCGCCATAGCAAGTGTCTCAGGGAACATTGGATAGGTGGCCGTAGGCAAGAAAATAGAAGTTCCCCTCTTCATCGCTTCCCTAAATATCACAGACACACAGAGGATGAACCTCTAAATAGTATTTCTAGCCATATCAACTAATGAGTTACCAAAACTACCTATCAACTAAGCTTCCGGGTCGAACAAATCTGGCTGGGTCCGCAACATGTATCCAGACTTTGATTCGGCCATCCAGCAATCTTGTTGCACTCAAGGCATCATCAAGCTGCAAATCATTGCCAATTAGCCATTTGAGGTCACAGCATGTGAGAAAAACTCTCATTCTTTTTCTAAAACAGCACATCCATTCGAAATGCTTTAATTTGCTTGCCTTTTGTTTACATGTGATGAGAAGAAGGTAATGAGGATAAATATGCTAGTTACCCTTATTGTAGTTCAAAGCTCCCAATCAGCCACGAAAATTTTAATAGGGCTAACAATTCGTGTAAGCATGTCATAATGGCATTCATAATTAGTGTCGATTTTTGTTAGAATAAAACATCATAATGTTGATTCTACATGTCAAATAGTTAATTTATGATGGAAACGTGTTAATTCGTATGATTCGTGCCAAAATATAGGGCTGTGCGTATCATGTTGCGTCATATTTGAGTTCTCTTTCTGTAATTCATCTGTGTAAACGGTCCTGTCCAATATTACCAGCCCTAAATTAGAATATAAACTTTTGCTCTTATCTGGAAACATTTCACATATCAAACAGGTCATTAGTTCCTTCCAGCGTCCCTCCTACATATCATTTTCCAATCAAGTACATCCATCCTTCCTGCACTTACTCATATGCTCATATCTCACAGAAACAGATATTGGAGACTATAGTTCAAAGAAGCTAACAATAAATCAATTGATGCTTACCTCATCAGCCTCATCAACATCGATTGCATACACCTTCAGGTCAGTGAGATCTTTCCGGTCAGTCTAATCTCCAAAAAGAAAAAGAATGAAGGATTAAAAATCAAATTGAGGATTTAATAAAGAAAATAAACTTAATGGCCCATAACTTTGGTGGTTATTCGTGAATGCATCGTTGTTAGAACCTTACCCACAAATAGGTGGAAGCAATTGTTCTATCAACCATAGATGAAAGATTGCATACAAAGTTAGTTTAACCAATCTCAGACCTAAAAAGTGATTTCATTAACTTCGAAGCAAAAAATGTACATACCTCATCTAGGTCAACTAACTGTGACAGAAGAAGACTCTCAGCAGCTGATATTATCTCATCTGAATGCACGGTAGGGACATTCAGTTTTAACAGATCAAGATTGACATGTACGGGGAAATAGCCAATATCTATGAGAAGATTCACTGCAGATGAAGCTGTTTTTGTCAGTCCCATTGCCTTCAGGATCTGCCCGAACAATAAAGAAGAATAGTTACCATGCGACATTGCATTCATGCCAATAAAATGGAAGCGATCATAAGGCATAAATGGCTAAAATGAAAACTGATGCTCGTGAAATTGCATCACTAGTTTTGCTTCACCCAACCAAAAAACTATTAGTGTAATAAGTAATAATTGTTTTTCCCCTCATCATTCCAAGTGAAAAAACCCATAAAAAATTAAAGCCCAACACCACTAGTTCCCTCCACCCAAAAAAAAAAAAAACAGAGAGAGAGAGACACTGGTAAAGGGTTAACATGGATCTAGAAATGTACCACGCCCGCTAATTTCCTCTGCTCATCATTTTTGCATGCATCAATTGCGTAACATTCAAGAGACTCTATTTTCTTTCGAATTTTCTCTTCTGTAAGCCATGAAGATTTCCGAGGTTTAGCAGGGTAAGGCATCAACTTAGCAGATGTCAACAACTGAACAAACTCCTCAATTTCCTTCTCAGCAGCTTCTCGTGCAAGCTTCCTACGGATCTGTTCTTCCACCTAGCATATCATGTAGCCATAACCAGTGTTAAAAAAGGAAAACAAGAGAGAGAGTTCCGAAGATAAAAGGATGCAATATCTCATGTTTCAAATCCTTGAGAACACTTAAAGTCGAAGCTACTCAAAAAAGGAACCTTTTAAAGTTTTACTCTTGAATAATTCAAGGTGTCCGCATTCAAACTATACAAAATTAGAGTAGTCACTCAATAATTAAAAGTAGTATATTTAATCAAGATGGTGACTGGATACGGTTTCTCAAAAATGAAAAGTTTTGTGCAAGCGTTTTCAGAAAAATGTCATGCCCTCATTAATACTATAAATTGGGAGAGATTCAAAGTCATCTCACTGAAATTGCACTCTTCTGATAGAAGATATTCCAAGCTAAACTTCCTCCATCTTCACTGAATCAGCACTCTTTAGACATATAGTATGTTACCGACTACAAAGCTAACTATTCCATCAATTTGCCATCCAAATCTAACATGATATATTTTAAGAACAATAGTTTCTAAGAACAGAATATTCCTTCACATGTTATTCCATCCTATTGCAGACATTCTCAGTGTAGGATAAGCAACATGTACCTGTGCAGCAGGCCGAGGACCATAAATTCTACGCGAGCCTTTTGCTTCAATGACAGTGAAGTAAATTTCATCCTTTGAAAGCAAAAGATGTGCGCAATAGCTCTCCAAGGGTTCTGAACCGCCAAAGATCATCTGTAGAATAAGCCGAGGTTATTAAATGAAACGGCACAGCTAGCATCCCAAAATGCATCATATAGTACCTCCGCCAATTCTTCCGCTGTCACTGACTTATTTTTCTCCAGAAGCTCAACCCAAGCAAATTCAAGCAATGTTGGGTCCTGCATGAAGCCAAACAAAACTTACTTGCCAAGACAAAAACATGCCCGTGTTTGGAATATACAAGAGGAACTAACCAAGTTATCTTCAGCCCTCTGTAAAAAATCTGAAATTTCTTTCTGGTCAAAATTTTCAACACCGGGAACGATAAAAGTAATCTGCTGTGGCTTGATCGACGATGAGACACCATTCTGACATCAACCCGGGAATGAGTTAAGCAGCTACAACAATAGGTTCACGAAAGAAGATTTATTGCCAACAACTAGCAACCTATGCGCTTTAGTTGTATCAAGCAAAACCTGATCAGAAACCATCCAATTTTTCTTGCCATCGGGCCTCTGAGTGACTGCCAACAATACTTTCTCAGAATCTTTTTTGAACTCCAGCAGCAACCCTTTCTCCAGTGCTCGGTTCACAAGCTTATCTTGCAAAAGTTCTCCGCTGCCGGTGAGCGCCATTCTGTGATTAACAATATGATATTGAAAAATAATCAAAATTATCGAAGTAACACGCCGCCATCATCTATACCAAGCTCAAATGAGACGTAGGAATAGGAATTTCAACCATCGCGCACAAGAGCTGGAGAAATGATAGCCTATCAGGAGGACAGCTCAGATAAACTCGTCCGACGAGAAAATACTCTTAAGCAACAACTTATCGATACCAGGCTGACCAATGGCATCACCAAATGGATGTGTGTCGATAGAATGATCAATAATTAACCTAATCAGACTGAACTTGACACAGAGACCTCATCATTTTCGGCCCTCTCACGACTCGTCTATCACAGCTTCATCCACCCACTATCAAGGAGTGTCCTAATGAAGAACACCAGCTCGGAAACCACAATTGCGGAAGCAAGAAAACGAGGGAGCAGGACTTTTACTTGGAAGCAGAGCAGGCGAGCCTCCGCCGGCGCGACTCCCTAATCTCCTCGATGACGCCCTCGACGAGGCTGTGGACGCAATAGCTCCGCTCGCACCGGAGCGCCGCCGCCGCCGCCGCCGCCGACCACCGAGCCCTCGATCGCGCCGCCGCCGCCGGGTGGGGGGGCGCCCCGGGGGGGCGGCGGCGGGAGAAGCAGAGGCGGCGCAGGGCGCGGAGTGGGGGTGGGGAGCGGAGCACGGAGGAGGAGCAGCCGTTGGCGGCCCGAATCGTCGTCATCATGGTGGCTCCGATGTCGATCGACGGTTATCGGCGACGGACGGGAGAGGCGGGATTCATATCCGATACGAGCATCGAGCGAGGCGTGTTTTGTGCGCGCGGTTTGCTGCTTCTGTGGAGTGGAGTGATTGCTGCTTCTGCTTCGGTTCAAGCTTTTGTGTGGGAATTGCTCGCCGCCTCTAGTTTTTTCTTCTTTTCTTCCTTTTGCCTTTAGGAGAAAAAAAAAATTGAGATAAATATACTGAAAATCTTAAAATTTGTCAAAACCTGCCAAATCGGTGCAATCAAATCTTTCCGTTAATTCCGTCCAATTTGGCTAACGAGAAATTCTGGCGTGGCTTTTTTTTAATTATTTTCTCTATCCTATGTGGTGACGCTGACGTGGTTAAAGGTGATCATTTCGGTCAAAAAAACCTTTTAATACAAATTTTATTTAAATTAAAAAATAAGCAACAATTTAAAAAATACAAAAAACAAAAGGATGAAGGAAGAAGCAGGCGAGTTGGCAAACCTGGCGACCCCCAGTGGTGGCCCTTAAGGGTTGGCGAACCTGGCCCAGTTTGAGTGCGCTTGCGATCAGCGAGGTCGCCAAGCCTTGGCCAACCATTCCCCCACCATCACCGACCATCGAGCCACTGAGAGCGAGAGCGAGAGAGGGGTGGCGAGAGAGAGGCGACGGAAGTCATCGAAATTCACAGTAGAAGTGGAGCAGTTTGTCAATGGGGAATAAAGGATTTAGGATTTGAGTTTGTGTGATGGGTATGTAAAGAGTGATTTTCACACGTTGAGCATGCTGATGGATTATGTCCTAAACAGAATCAGAACAATTATACATATAATAAAAAAATTGACACACGAGTTTACTTAGATTCACCCCAGAATAGGGCTACGTTCTATAAAGGGATTCCACTATGATATTTAGGTTTTACAATCACAACCACTCGTCACAATGATTTCTCATATAAGTACAATATATAGGACTTAAAATTGGCCCGAAGCCCAAGTCTATCCGAATCCCTTTGATCCCACAACAAACGAGTCAGCAAACCCAATGTTGTTTCGGAAACCCCCGCCCGCTGTCCGAGCAGCGGAACCCCCGACATTCTGTGCGTAGGGGTCACATGTCGTCAGTTCATACTTCGATTTCCCCAAACTCACGTGGGCATGCCTAGTATGAGAAACAAGGGTCCCCGAAGTATTCGCTAACTCCAACATTCTCCCACTTGGTGGATACTTCACGCAAACGAGGCCATACCAACATCACTCCTCTTCAATCCAATCACAGCAGAGCACCATTCAAACTTCGCAACCGTGACGGCTTTAGTAAGGAAGTTTGAACTATTTTTTACCTTGTCGATCTTTTCAAGTTGAACTATTTTCTTCTCCACCTTCTCTCGGATAAAGTGATATTGTATGTCGATGTGCTTTGTACGTGAATGAAACGCTGGATTCTTAGCTAAATAAATAGCCCCTTGATTGTCGCATCTCACCTCCACGGTACCTTGCTCAAAACCAAGCTCCAAGCACAACCGCCGTAACCATATGGCCCCTTTTCCGGCATGAGTAAGAGCGATGTACTCAACCTCCGTAGAAGAGAGCGCTACCACGCATTGCTTCCGACTCATCCAACTCAGCGCAACTCTAAATAATGTGAAAACATACCCGCTAGTAGACCGTCTACTATCAATGTCTCCACCCCAATCTGCATCTACATGGCCCACGATATTGAGGATGTTTCCATTCCTTTGACCTTCAAAACATAAAGAAAAATTCCAAGTTCCACGAAGATACCTGAAAACCCTTTTTACTGCATTCCTATGTTCTCTACCCGGGTTGGACATATATCAGTTCAAGACTCCCACTGCTTGGGCTATATCCGGACGCGTGCACACCATAGCATATATCAAGCTACCCACTGCACTTGCGTACGGAACTCGGGCCATCTCTTCAGTCTCCTCATCCGTTTTAGGGCACTATTCGGCAGATAATTTGGTCCCTAAAGGTATGAGGGTACCAACAGGCTTGCAGTTCGTCATGTTGAATTTCTTCAACATTTCTTTGATGTATTTCTCTTGCCCTAGCCATAGCTTCCGTTTCCCACGGTCCCTGGTAATATGCATGCCCAAAATAAATTTGCAAGCCCTAAATCTTTTATATCGAACTTCCTAGCCAACAAATTTTTTTATGGATTTCACCATCTTCACGCTATTCCCGATTAACAACATATCATCCACGTATAGCGTGAGAATGACAAACTGATCGCCCACCCTCTTCACATAAACATAGTGGTAAGAATTTGAACGCACAAAATCAACCTGTAACATGTACGTGTCGAACTTCTGGTACCACATCTTCGGTGACTGTTTCAGCCCATAGAAAGACATTTTCAGCTTGCACACCAGATTCTCCTTTCATTTTGCTTCAAACCCTTCTAGTTGCCTCATATAAATCTTCCCCATGAAGGAAAGTCGTTTTCACATCCATCTATTCCACCTCAAGGTCATATGCAGCTGCTACAGACACAACAAATCGTATCGAGGTCAATTTCACCATGGGGGAAAAAATTTCGTCATAGTCAACTTCCTCGATCTGATAATACCCTTTGGCTATGAGCCTCGCCTTGTACTTTTCCATAGTACCATTCGGTTTCAATTTCCGCTTGAATACCCACTTACACCTAATTGCCTTTCTATCCTTAGGCAATTTACACAAGTTCCATGTCTCATTATGATCAAGGGACTGCATCTCATCTATCATTGCGAGCTCCCACTGATTCGCGTCATCCATGGATCTCGCCTCTTTTACAGTACTATGATCATCCCCGGTAATGCTCAAGGCATGAAACGTACTCAATGCATTAAGCGAGTATCGAAGTGGTACTCACCTCTCCTGCGTTGATCTCCTAAGAGCCGGCATGCTATCTGTGTCCGGGTCTTCATCCGAATCTGCAACCTCAATTTCATTAACCAAGTTCCCCTGTTCCGGATCAGAATGAGACTCCATTGATGTACCTGGTGGAGCCATCTCCACAGTTTCAGCTTTCAGGTTTTCTTCGAGCACTATTACTTTCTTGGGCTCATCATTTTCCTGTGTGCCTGCTTGGGATTGTTTTTCATGAAAGACGACATCCCTGCTGTATACGATGGTCTTTGATTCAGGATTCCACAGCTTATAGCCCTTGACCCCTTCCTTGTATCCAGCGAATGTGCACTTTTCGGATTTATTGTCAAGCTTACCCCTCTTCTTCTTGGGCACATGAACGTGTGCGTCACACCCGAACATGTGACAGAATCGGCTAATTCCCAAACACTGCCTCGTATGGTGTATGGTCCTTCACTGATGAGGTTGGTGATCGGTTCTTCAAATAAATGGTCGTGGCTACGGCTTCTACCCAAAATTCAGGTTTCAAACCTACCCAACTCAGCATGCATCTCGCCTTTTCTATGAGTGATCGGTTTAATCTTTCGGCCACCCCATTCTGTTGAGGTGTATATGGGGTCATTTTCTGCCTCGCGATACCATTATCCACATAGAACTGCTCGAACTTGTCCGAACAGAATTCACCTCCGTTATCCGTACGAAGTACTTTGATTTTCCTGCCCAATTGGTTTTCAACCAAAGCCTTGAATTCTCGAAATTTTTCAAATGCATCTAATCTACTTTTAATAAAATAAATCCAACTATATCTCAAAAAATCATCTATGAACGATACATAGTACATGGATCCTTCAATAGATGGAGTCGAAGTAGGCCCGAAAACATCACTGTGAATCAGCTCAAGAATCTCTGTTGCTCTTGTACCGGCGTGTTGGAAACTAACTACATTCTGTTTTCCATGAAGACAGTGTTCACAGAACCCGAAACCCATAGAGCAATCTAGCACTCCCTCTACCATTTGACTCAAAGCTAAGGTAGACAGTCCCTTTTCACCGATATGCCCTAGCCTCTGATGTCACAACATGGACGTATCATATCCATCTTCCTTTGGCTTTTCAGAGATGAACCCGTCACCAGCAATCACTGTTTTTCCGAGCAGCTTGTACAGTGTCCCATAACGGACTCCTCGTGCATTCACAATAGAACCCCGAGTCATCTTGCACGAATTTTTATCACAATTGAAAATAATCTCTTAATCAGCCATCGTACCAACCGATAACAAGTTTTTACTCATCGAGGGAAGAGTCTTCACTGTGCCATCAGACATCTTCAGCTTCACCCAGCCACGCCCGATATTCTGAACTGTAGTATAATCTCCGAGCGTGACATCTCCACCATTATATTGTTCATATTCACAAAACCAGTGTCTATGAGGCGTCATATGATATGAAGCACCGGTGTCGACAAACCAAATATCCTTGTCTGACTGCGCCATACATGCAGTAGCCACATACATATCTCCTGTCTCGACCTCCTTCTTCCCCAAGGATGATTCGCCTTCTTTCTTAGGAACGGGCTTGTTTTTACAGTCCCACTTCACATGGCCCCACTCTTCACATCTCCAACACTGTACCCTCATCTCCCTACTCTTCGATCGCCCACGAGATTTGGATCTGGACCCTTTCCGATTTAGTCCCTTCTCTGCTGGCCTACCCCTAGCCACCAGCGCCTCTTTATCGGAACTCTCTGACCCCTTTCTTCGTGTCTCCTCTGATAACAAGGCCGAACACACGGTCTCATATGACAGTTCCTTATCCCCACCACCGATTACTACAATCAGGTTATCCCATAAATCCGGCAGTGAACAGAGTAGTGTTATCGCCTTATCATTGTCCTGGAACTTAACACCGATTGATACGAGTTGGTTTATCAACATGTTAAAGTCATACGGGTGTGCAGAAAACGAGTCGCCTTCGTGCATCCGAAGATTATATAGCTTCTTCCTTAAGAACAACTTATTTACCAGCGACTTGCTTTGGTACAGCGGCTCTAGTTTTTGCCATAAATCCCTGGCTGTAGGTTCGTTCATCACGTTGGTTAGAATGGAGTCCGCGAGATAAAGCCGGATCAAACCCTTTGCTTTCCGATCGATCCGATCCTAGTCCTCAATCTTCTTTGGATCTGGCTGTTTGGGAGTTTCATCCGCTTCCTTACCCGCTTCCTTGCCTTTCACGACACTAGTCGTCGCAACAACTGGCCTTTCCCTTACGATTGCCGACCAAAGATCTCGATCACAAAGAAGATCCTCCATCTTCATCTTCCACAGATCGAACCGCTTCCCATCAAATTTTTCTATCTCAATCCATGACCCTCCTGACATCTCAGATAAACCCTAACTCCTCGAACTTGGCTCTGATACCAATTGATGGGTTATATCCTAAACAAAATCAGAACAATCACACAGATAATAGAAAAATTGACATACGAGTTTACCCAGATTCACCTTAGAATAGGATTACATCCTGCAAAAGGATTCCACTATGATATTTAAGTTTTACAATCACAGCCATTCGTTACAATGATCTCTCTTACGAGTACAATATATAGGACTTAAAATGGGTTCAAAGCCCAAACCTATCCGAATCCCTTTGATCCCACAACAAACGGGTCAGCAAACTCGATGTTGTTTCGGGAACCCTTGCCCGTTGTCCGGGCAGTGGGACCCCCGACATTCGATGCATAGAGGTCACATGTCGTCGGTTCATATTTCGATTTCTCTAAACTCACGTGAGCGTGCCTAGTATGAGAAACAAGGATCCTCGAAGTATTCGCCAACTCCAACACACGCCAATCGTTGATAATGTGAAAAATCAAGATGGGTTTCCAACCGTGAAAAGGACAAAACGAATGTCATGAAGTTTTCAAACTGCAAGTTACTGGTCGGATCCGCACTCTTCACACAAATTGCAAGCTTCCTCATGAATTCTAAAGAGTAATATGAGATCCTAAGATAGAAATTCGCAGGTATAAGTCTTACTAGGCTACTTGGTATGAGACTATAAGTCATCAGGGGAACATACGATATGATTGATACTTGGAAAATCATGCACTTCGAATAAGGAAAGCATCGACCGTCATTTGAAGAACAAAAATTGAACTCAATCAATAATCTATCACTCTTAGCAGTACATGTAATATGAAGATTCGAGTTAATGTTCAGATTTGTAATCTAAAAGCACAGTCTCTATGCCCCCCAGAAAATTTACATAAATTCAGTAACCCAAAGTCGACATGACTTTACAGCAATAAAAAAAGAAAGGTGATGCCTGCACGCACTGTGTTTTCTTGATAATCAACTGCAGAGCTGAGAACACAGCCCCTGAATCTGAGAACTACTTGCATCTGGCAACGTGTAAAAGCCGGATTTGCCGTTGGTCAAGCACGTCAAGTTCACCTGGCTTCCCAACTGTGTGGACTGCATTCAAAAGCAATTGCAACACGGGTCAAGGGGTTATGCATTTCTCGAAATAGATAGTAGGAGAGAAATGAGACTGGTCTCGCAAGACAAATACGGAGTCTTCATGTGCAAAAGACACGAGTTTAACGCTCGTGCCACAAACTATAGAGATCGGCAATTTCATTTTTTGCAATACAAATGAAATTAGAGTTCAAGCAACAGAAAATTCATATATTAAAGATCGGCACCGTGCATAGTTCTTATATTATCTGCGATAGATGTCATCGAATAACTAAGAGAGCTTACTTCATAAACCGAAATTTTGATTTGCTTGGCTTTACAATAATTATAATCATGAATTGCACATTAAGGTTATCTTTACAATTGGCTATAGTAAGAAAATTGTTATTTGCTACCCATGATCGCACATGAATCACATGGGCATTTTCTAGTCCATATAAAAGGTTGTCCAGTCTCAAATGAATGTTCCAGGATTTTGCAAGTGAACTGAATATACTGAAAAGTGTAAAAAGAATGGAGAGATTCCTTACATTGCAGTATCCCGGATTTGAATTGCAGCTCCATCTTGAAGTTGGGACACAAGACAAATAATGGCACCAAGAACAATGATCATTTGCGTTGAAACCCCAGAGCAGCAAAACCAGAGCAACGGTAAACCTATTAAGAAAGCGTAGATATCAAATTAGAACCCCTAAAAGTATTTTATAGTCCAAGTACTTGTGCATAATGAAAGCACCAACAACCTGAAAAAGCAAAGAAACACTACGATGGAAATGGAAGGAGGAAGCGACAAACAAAAATATTCAAGAGATGATGTTTTAGAAGCATAATTGGTGGGTAGAGTGACTGTCATTACTTTGCTAAGCTTTCATCATTAAGCTATGCAGATTTCCAACATTTACGTGCATAAACTCAGCACAAGATCGTATGTTATATTGGTTTACGCAATTACTTCCAATTAACCCAGAAAATCAGCTAACTATCAGCTAATGCCTGGAAATAGAAATTTGGCAGCTTTCTTGGTCTCAAGATCATTAAACGGTCATCAAAGTCGGCTTGTTTATAAATTCTGACAATCCTCTCTCTCCCTTGATTGTTAAGAACATGTGTACTGGGTACTTACCCAACTATGAAGATGATAAGAGAGGAAATCCACAGGACACACTGATACTTCTTGAATTTGGATATAACCGAAGTCGTCAAATATCCAGGGGGAGCATATCTTTGGCTAACCCATCCAAACTGGGGACGGATCAGAAAGACAAATCCCAGAAAAAAGCCGGAAAGAAATCCTCCGATATGGGCAAAGTTGTCCACATGAGGAAGTATCCCAACAGCCAAATTTAGCACAATGATAGACAAGAGGGTCACAAATGCTGCAACCTGGGAAAAATCAGTTAATGTTAAAAGAAAGAGAGAAGTTGCTGGATAGTAATACACGGGTCGTGAAAAAGTATGCATAATGGTGCTATACCTTGTTGGTGTAAATGCTCCAATTAATAATGAGTTCAGAGAGCATTCCACCTAGTAATCCAAATAGTGCACCAGAAGCACCAACGGAAATGTTTGACTGAAGGAAAAGAGCTGACAACAGACTTCCACCAATTCCTGAGATTATGTATAGCAAACCAATTCGCACTGCAAGAAAAGCTCTAAGTTAATGGAAGCCGCATAGATGAACGAAGCTTTTCTGACAGATCCACAGATCTTAGTAGCATGAATGAAGATATTCCATGGATACAGTGATATACAAAGTAATTGTCTCCATTGAACTACCTTTGAATCCGAACCAAGATGAAGTTGCATAATGAGGATGATGCAAATGCCATGTTTCTTCAGAATTTAATTTGCAAAATGAACATGAAAGACAAAGACTTTGCAGATTTAAGCATCACTGATGATGGCATTCGAGTTGCAGATACAAAAATATTGAACAAAATGTAAATGATAGAACTTAAACAGGTATAAGGAGGAGGAGTAGATCAGCAATGTTCTATTAAAATTAGCCCATGAAAGAATGTAGGCATCATGATATAGGAAGCTAACAAGAGGAGAGTGTACAAAAATAATACTTGCACATGATATAGGGAGCATACTAGGCTAAAACAAAACTAACATATCATGGTGCGCATGTTGATTAGGTAAGAAAGAAGAAAACCTCAGTTACATCCTAAAGCTGAAATTTCCATTTTTTGGGATACTGGCACATGAACAATGTATAAATCATGATACATCATAACAATGGTAGCACCAAGAGCAATGAATTTCACATGCAAACTAAAAGATTAAGGCACATGGACCATCGGAAAAGAAACAAGTTCTGCTATCCACTCCCCAGTGAGCATTTGGAAACATCTGAGCAGATCAAGACCAAAGTCTATCCATACCTTGCATTATCAAATTAGATACTTGTCTCCTCACAAATTTTTTCCTCCACATTGTTTTCAGAAGTCAGTAACAGTAGGTAAAGAAAAACAATCATTTAATGCTATCCAAAAAAACTTGCCTAAAAGCTATTGCTACATTGCAAATCATTAGATGTTATTAGTTCCTTCACTTTTGATGCCAAACCATATCTATGTAGATGGCATCTCCAATGAATTCAATGTCTCCAACCCCTCCACATGTTCTCTCTCCCATGCAAACCCCAGGTCAGAAGTTCTGAGTCAGAACTGAAGCAAACTCCAAGAAATTTAACAATTCTACATACACACTCAAATGGATGTTCACCATCATGAGATTTATGACAATAATGGGAAGCTTTGGACAATGTAAGAATTTTACATGAGATGGGAAGTTTCGTCAGAGAAGGCTGGTATCCAGAAGATATAAGTGCAATGAAGCAGAGGTGGGAAAAGCAGTTTATACATACCAAAACCAAATTCTTGCTCAAGCCGAATGCCAATAACTAAAAGACTCAACATATTTGCCAATAAATGGAAAACTCCTCCATGTAACCAAATGCAGGTGACAAGGAGCCACACCTGGTGCCGGTCAACCACTTTACTTGCCACTAGACCACCCATCTTCTGAAGCCTAAAAAGACGTAGCATAGACTTAAATTTGATAATTACCAATCAGCAAGGAAATTACCTAATACAGGCATGAAACAGCAGTCAAGTTGAAAAAAAGAGTCTGCACATGATTGCATATTGGCTACGAAGTGTAGAGGTAGAAATATCTATAATCTAAAATGACGAGGCAATTACATAAAATACTCGTAAAACGGCAGTCAAGTCGAATAAGGTCTAGCATCTTTGACGATTGCTTATTCACCAGAAGTGTAGAGATAGAAATAGCTGTCATCTAATCTCACAGTCACTTTTGGAGCTAAGATAGTAGCCCATCCTTCTTTTAGCTTCACCATGAAAAATCAGCTAACTAATACTCATGATAATGTGGACACAATCATTAATGCTAAAAAACATCTCTAACTTGCCTTGGTATAATTTCCCATATTTAGTATGTAGGCTACGCAGCGGGACTACTCCTCCCCAAGAGCTCAAAACACTTCTTTCTTTGAGAGATCATTACACTATATGGCTTACACAGGCTTCTTTAGTCCATAAACAATAACCTAATCCTTGGAAACAGAATCCCAAAAATCCGCAGACCGAAACAACACGAACATTGTCCGGAAACCGAAAGCGGCTGTCTTGCTTGCTTCGTTCCATGATGGTTCAGAACACTCAACACACCAAATTTTGAACACGACAAGCCTAAACTCGCACCACCCATGGAAAAAAAAAATCAAACTTTAACCAATCAAAGAGGCCAAAGAAGGGGAAGCTCGAATCGCAGGAGCAAGAAAGATCAATTCGACTCACGTAGCAGAGGAAGGGCCAAGAAGGGGGTTCTCCTTGAAGGGCTGGAAGGAGAACCGGCCCAAGAACCTAGCGATGCAGGACACCGAGTTCTTGGGGCAGTCGTTCACGTACATGGTGATGACCAGCATCACCGTGTTGGCCACCACGAAGGTCGGCACCAGCCACGGGACCCAGCTCCAGAAATGCTTCACCTCCCGGAACACGACCGGGCTCGGTGCCGCCGGAGCCGCCGCCGCCCCCGCCGGGCCCGGGGGCGGCGCGGGCATGTCCACCACCGGGTGCACCGCGTTCGCGCCCCGCCGGGAGTTGACACGGACGTGGATCTCGGACGCGGAAGAGGAGGAGGAGGAGGAGGAGGAGTAGGGGGGAGGCCGGGGGCCGGGCTCTCCGCGTGCCGCAGCCATTGGAGACGCCGCCGGTGACCGGAGCTCCGGCGGGTGTGAAAGAGGAGAAAGGGAAAGGGAAGGAAGGTGAGAAGGTAGGGGAGGAGTTGGTTGGTCAGCCGTTCATCAGAGGTTGGCTGCGGAGGTTGGACGTTCTCTCTTCTTTCTCCTTTTAAATATTATTAAAACAAATAATCTGGCGAAAAAAATTATTAAATATTTATCTCTAGGACACCTATTGAGAGTCAAAGTATGGTTTGAAAATATAAGGAATAAGTTCATTGAAAGTCCTAAAACTTATTACGAAAATACAATTGAGTCCTAAAATTTTCATAATATGTAATTAAGTCCTAAAACTTGTTAGAAAAGTGTACTTGAGTCCTAAAACTTTCAAAAAGTGAAAACATATCCTAAAACCTATCACGAAAGTGCAAACAAGTCATAAAACTTATCAAATTGGTTCAATCAAATCCTTCAATTAATTGTAATTTTTGAAAGTTTTAGGACTTAATTTACACCTTCGTGATAAGTTTTAGGACTTGATTGCACTTGTTGAAAGTTTTAGGACTTGATTGCACTTTCGTGATAAGTTTTAGGACTTGGTCGCATTTTTTTGAAAGTTTCAGGACTCAATTGCACTTTCCTGACAAGTTTTAGGACTTATAGTACACTTATCCCAAATATAAAATATTCGCATTTTAGGTAAGACGATTTATTTAAAATTTTCATTTATTGCTCGACTTTTAAGCTGCGTTGTTATATAGGTTATTGCAATCTTTCAGTGTCTCGAAGAGTGCTTTTAGAATACTCCCTAACAAAATTAAATTAGATGACGAGTATTTTTGTTTTCGTGGTGTAATAATAAATAATGCTAGATACACTAAAATTAGTTCGAAAATCAAAATACCTTTCTATTGAAGATATTGTTAACCGATGTCGTAAGGGAAATTGTCGCATACTTGATAAGGAACGGTATCGATTAGATTACAGATAAATACAAAAGAAAGGATACATCAAAACACTCCAGGCTTCATCCACATAGCTCTCGCGATGCCACAAGGGCACCGTTTAACAAAGCTCTTTTATCAAATATACTACACGACATCTCTTTACAGATTTGAAAAACAAAGAGTCTATTTTATTAATATTGATAAGCTCATTCGCCAGCGGCTTTTAAACAATTATCTCCGTGACATCGCACCAAGTAGCGTCGGTAACACAAACAACACTGGAGAGCATATTTACAAAAACAAAGCACAAAAAGTATATAGCTATGCCAAATAAATATTACAATTTCCGGTTCGGATTGGGCATTGAATATGATATATTAGTTTATAGGGAGAACGACACAAATGATCTATGAACTTTGGTCCAATATATAATGTGGTCCCTTAAATTTTAATTTATTCAATTAGTCCACAAAATTTAACCCATTGTTTAATATGGTTTATGAACTATTGTTAAAAGTTCAGGAACTATATTAAACATTGGGTTAAAGTTCATGGATCACATTAACATTAAATAAATTAAAATTTTAGGGTTCACATTAAAACATTGAGCTAAATTTTAAAAATTATTTGTGTTATTTTCCCTAGTTTATAATATATATATATATATATATATATATATATATATATATATATACAATTTAACGCGTCATCAATATTATTAGTTGCAGTCACATGCAAAATCCGTGGGAATATTTGGGCCCCACAAAATAAAAAACCGACGAGATCCGGCGGTGGATCCCACGCGGGTCCGGGGCTCCGAGTTCCCGACAGACGAGCGGGCCGCTCGCTTCCTCCCTCCATGATTGAATCGGAGTACGTTCCCGCGTTTTTTTTGTCTGCCCTCACGCACGTGGCACCGATTCCCCAACAACCCGGCCACGTGGCGTTTCCTGATTCGTCCTGTCTCCAGACGAGATTTGACCTTTGCTCAATCGGTAGGTAGGTAGGTATTTGCCGCTACCGCTAGGATTAGAAAGTTCTTTTCTTTTTTTTCTTCCATTTGGAAAATGGACCGCATTAATAGACCAACTTACCAACGGCGGAAGCCTCGGTTCATCTGCGACTTGAAGTTCGGTCGTGTTATGGTATAAGGTAAATCCTCAGCTCCGCTTTCGGGACGGCGGTGATGGGCTCGCTCAAAATGAGTCGTAACTGTGATTTGAGTCGAACATCGTGTCGCGCGGGTGTGGAGCTCCTGAAGGGTTGCTGGCGCTAGTCGCCTATTCCCGCTCCTTTACTCGAGGAAAAAAGGGAGAATGTGTCCAGAGTAACGGACATGTCGCCGTGCTCCTCAAATAAATTTTTTTTTTTTTATGATAGATTTGTTCTTTTTCCTTCTTTTTTTTCTTTTGTGGGGGTCAATGCCTGCCCTACTTCTTTGGGGATGACGGAGAGCAAATTCATGATTGAGATTAAAGAATTATGTGGTCCGGACACAAAAGACGCCAGGGCTTCAACTGCACCACAAGATCATAAGATAGATACAAAGATAATATTGCAATGTCTGGACCACTTAGTGTGCTAGCCATAGTGGTAAATTGATTATATAAAGGCGTGAAAACATATGGTGATTGTCTTGACCCTCTTATTGGGAAGTGTTCATTGTCTCTAACCTCGGCAGATCATGGATGTAAGAGAGAGATACCAAACAGAAATAGCACTCATGGACACAATATACAACAGGGGTAATATTCCACTAGAATCACAATCCTATCCAAATAGTAATACAAGAAAGCTGAAATCAATTTCATAGTACATTGCGATTCTTTTCTTTCCATAATTCAAGTATAGGAGCGCAAAGATCCGGCTACTTAAAGAGATATGGAATACCTTACAAGCCCCAAGAAAGAGTTGAATCTACGTCTTTTGGCCCGGACAGGCGGCCCAATCTAGAGCAGTTTGCATTAGGGGTGAGTATGGTTCCAAAGTAGAATCTGGAATTTGAGAACCTGACTAGTGGGAACCTATAGGTTCCAGATTCCAAGGTATACATGGTAGGTTTCGGGTTCCAAAATTTTAGGAACCTATTTCGATAGATAGGTTCCAGGCTCTAGATATGTGAAACTTGGAACCTGAAACCTAAACAAGTTTTTTGTGTTTTTTCTTGATCTATGTCTTCGTGTGATCATGCGGTATTTTATGGCGTTAGATGATGAGTGTATAATTTGGAACCACTAGTATGAGCTTTTGTTTTATGACTTGTTAATATTTCATATTTTTCGTGTGTCTAAATATAAGTTATGGTTAGTGAATCATAGCAGAAAGTGGTGGTTGTTAAAGATGATAATTCATTGTAATTGCTCAATTAATAAGGTGGAACCTAGGTAGACCGCGAAACCAACTCTCGAACCTGTAATAGGGTAGGTTCCAAGTTCCAAAAAATGAGGAACCTATTATCATGGGTGGAACCTATACGGAACATGGAACCGCTCACCCCTAGTATTGATTCATGTAACGACTTCTCATTTTAATTATATTTATTTGAATCATAATGACAGGAAAACTAGTCTTTGAATAATAAGCTTGTTCAGTATTATTGCGTTAATGAAAAAAAAAAAAAGAACCTGTTAGACCGTGGAACTTATCCTAAAACCCGTGATAGGGTAGGTTGTAGGTTGCAAGTTTCGATGGGTAGGTTCCAGATTCCAAAAAATGAGGAATATGTACCCAATGATTGGTTCCAGGTTCCAAAAAATGAGGAACATGTATCCGAGGGTAGGTTTCAGGTTCCATGTGGAACCTGTAAGGAACTTGGAACCACTAACTCCTAGTTTGTGTGTACTTAGTGGGATTTGAACAAGTAATCTGCAGTTCATGAGCTGAAAATTACCTAACGTAATATCATCGCGAATAATCTCAAGTGGACCTAAACCATTTGCTGTTTGGACTTGAACTCCATTAACACCCTATCACATCGAGGATGATAACTTTGCTAAGTATCCCTCTACAGTGTCGTATGAAAGCTAAAAGGATAAGTGCACCAAAATTCCTAAAAAACTTAAGTGATAGGTTGTTAATGGAGTGAGGGAAAATCCTAACGTGGCATCTTTAAAGATTTTTCGAAAACACTTATCACTGATGTCGTGTCAAGTGGGCACCGTTTATAAGAAAAAGGCCCCCCAAAAAAACATCACATGTTGAAAGCACGTGGGCAACGACAGCACTAGTTTCACCTAGCGCTCACAATATAGGAAGTTGGGACTACATTGGCTCATTAGACGGGCCTGAGCGGTCCTACCCAGGCCCGCCCATCAAGGCACCTTTCTTTTTCTAATTTTTTTGATGTTCAGCCAAAAAAAAAAGTAAATAGAACTGGAAAACAAATGACGAAAAATACCTTTAGGGGTGCGTATTGTTTTACTTAATTACTTTTCTCATGAGTTTTATACAATTTTCCCCTAGTATATTAGAAATCTTTGAGCTTATTTGCTACTATTGTTTATGAATATTAAACACTAACGTAGGATTGTTAACGATATATCTTTTATAATCTCTTTCGATAAATACATGAGTAAAGCCAGGCCGCTTGCATGTTTATAAATATTAAATTTTAATATAGAATTGTGACATCCAGCATGCGTTGCCGATTTTCGACGGGATTTAAGCAACGTTCTCGATCGGGACGTCTAGGTGTTGCCTAAAAAGAAAAAGCTCATCCATTGACTTTTTCTTGTAATTTGGAATGATAGGTTAATTTAAAAATCGCATTTTGATCTTGCCAAGTAATTAAGCAGATCAATTATCCATTACCATTGTACAAAAAAAGAGGAAAAAATCACAAGCGACATCATCCATCGTTGAATTTATGATTAGTGAGGATGTTTGTAGTCAAAACTCTCAAATTAAGGGTGGATAGAATCGGTTTTGTGTCAAGTTTTCTTTAAATTGACGGAGCATGTTTAATTTTCCAGTAAGATTTGCTGATAAGGCCATATATATGTTAAGAAAAATGATAGACTTTATTGGGACTGATTTAAAATTAGATATATTAAGTCATGCGTCGGGCTATTAATGATCATTGAACGTGACCCACTTGTTTAAAGGATTAGTCACGGTCCGATTTGCCACCAAATATATCAATTTTGTAAATTATCATAGTAGGCTTGGTATCGCTCATCTGTCATAGGAGTGAGCAAAAGGACCGAACCAAACCAATCGATTCTGGGCAGTTCTCGCAAGAACCAGTCCTAGTCCCGATTTCCAAAATTTGGCAGTGAATATCTATCCACTTCCCGATTTTAGGTGTGGACTCACCCACTCGAACCGGATCGATTTTTTTTTTGTTGATATTTATTATTCCAGATCTCCAAAACCCTAATTCCCATTTTTTTTCTTGCTTAGACTTGATCACGCAAGCTTGTCGCTTTTGTGTAAAAGTTGGAGGACGATGTCGCCCTTTCGGATGCCCATGGCGGAGAGGTGGGAGGCGAGGGAGTCGACAGAACAGTAAGGCTCGGAGAAGGGGACGTGGAGGTCTGAGGAGGCGTCGATGAAGGCGATAGAGCCGCGATCGGGAGGAGATGAAGGTGGTGATGTTGAGGGAGGGGGAGCGGGAAGGGAATGGGCTTGCGCTTGCTGTGCAAGGTGGATTTGGAGCTGCAAAAGTTGCTTCAAGGGTCGATTTGAAGCAGATAGGTGGCCATTGGAGATGAATCATGACTTCCTGACAAGTGACAACTTATGCTTCAAGGCAAACGATCTCTCTCTCTCTCTAAGATTGGTCTCTTTTGTAATTAAAGATGGATAAAATCGCTTTTGTGTAAAGTTTTATTTACACCGATGGTGTATGTCGTGATTTCCTCCTAAAATTTACTTACGAAATTATATATATGTCGAGGAAAATGCTAGACTTACCAGGACTGATTTACAAAGTCATGCGCCAGTCTGTTATTAATAATTGAACATGACCCACTTATTTTAAAGGATCGCAATCTGACGCATCACTTAATAAATCAATTTCGTAAACCAGTCTAAGTACGTTTGGTATTTGCTCATATGTCAATTAATGAAAAGATAGAAATGGCAAGTCGGTTTGGCGATGTTTGCTTCATTACCTATCAAGGCGATGCGTCAATAGATCACATCAGCAAAATAAAGCAAACTTGGTGGAAGGATCCTCAAAGAGCAGCCTCCATTCTCTTAACTTATGCAACGCAAGCTTATAGATCGACAAGATACTACTAACTAATAAGAACAAACGCGCGTCAAAACATTCCAAAAATCAAAATCCTATCCTTATCTGCGTTGTGTTTTCGAGGGAACGCAAAATCTGGATACATCTGGATAAGATAATCTCAATTGGGATATAATCCGGATATGTTCGGATATTACATCCTCATCTATTGCGGTTGGATGCTCGTCACCGCCTCCGGTGGTAGCCGCTACAGCAACAGTAGTTGCGGTGGTGGCTGGTTTTTTTTTAATCCTTTTTTTGCCTCTTTCAGTATTTTTGTTGTAATTTTTTTCAATCATATTCTAGGTGCACTAAACATATGACAGGATTTCTCACTATCCAAAGGAATTTTAATCCCACTTCATTCTATTCTATCCCTATCCATGTTCAAATAATCAAAAGCAGCTAAAAGTTTATCTACCCAGTATAGATCTCTTGACCCATACAATCTCCCAAGCAGTTCATATGTCTTCCACAACCATAAACCTTTTATAGTCGAAATGCCTCCACAAGGAAGAACCATTGCTGTCTAGGAGATCATCACCAAAGTCAGCCGTGAATGCTGAACCGTCTTCGTGGGCCAACGACAAACCTCTGATGGCGTTCACCCCGTTCGATATCGAATCGTCGGAAGCATTATTTGCAGGATTGAAGTCGACCGCCGCAGCTTGATCAGCCGGGGTCTGTTGTTGTCCACGAGTCAAGGAAATAAAGGGCGTGTGTGGAGGCCAAGCTACCGAATCGGTGGGAACATTAGGATAACTGTAATTGATTGCACCATCGTTGGCCGTCTGCTGTTGCTGCTCCTGAGTCTCCCACCAGTCGAACATGTCCAGAGGTGGGGCATCAACTCCCGGGTCATTGAGAGTGTCAGTGTCTTCAAAACAAACCGTGCCTTTCTTTGCTGCCTGCGGCTGTTGCTGCCTCTGATCAGGCGTGGGAACGCTGCCGCACACGCCCGGAAGCTCGGCGATAGGAGCCAGCTGGCCCCAGGGCTCGAGTGGCGCACCGTCATTCGGTCCGGGAACAGGAGACGAACTTTCAGCGTGACTTCCATGATTGCCCGGATCTTTGTGTGGAGCTTTGGACCCATCCTGGGTTGAAGCCACGCTCTTCCTCTTCCTCTGGCCAGTCTTGCGGCCCTCCTCTTTGCGGTCGTCCGATTCCGACTTGCTCCTCTTCTTGTGTATCTTGCATATCACATAGCCATCAAGCTGAACAAAAAGACGCATCAATCCATAAGGAAACAGTTTTATCACCACGCAAAGCGAAGTCACATTCGAACTTCAAAAGTTTCCAATGCTACGCTTATCGAACTAGTCGGTTGCAGAATGTTAGGGTCCCGACCTGCATGTCGTTCTCGCCCGTCGTTCCCTTGTGATTGTTGCTGTTGTTGTAATCAGCGTCCTTGGCTGTGAACTCGTGCATGATCCAATCGGTCTTGACGCTGTCCTGAGGCTTGCCGTGGTAATACACGAGCGACCTCTTCCAGCCGATGACTTGCCCGTCATGAACGATTTCCTCCGCCGACCCGCTGGCCCTCCAGAATCCGCCTCCGGCCTCTCTATTGGGTCGCGTCCCGTTCTTGTACTTCCGGTCTCTGGTCGTGAAGAAATACCACTCTTTCTCTCGCTCTCCACACCCGTTCAGTTCTGCGTGTCACCAAGAACGAGAAAGGACAACTTGGTATTTCAGAAGCAACTATAAAGCACATGTACCAGAGCAAATTGACCTTGTAAAATACACGAGAGGATGAGCACGTCATCGTTACAAATCAAACTAGAGAGATGAAGACACTGACCGGAGAGCTGTTGAGGGGTGTGCTTGTAGACATTGAGGTCCATGAAGGGATGAGGCAGCCGGAGAGGCCAGCCCGAGAGCTTGCGGCGCAAGATGGCGATGAGCTGGTGGTCGAGGGGGTAGAACACCAGTCCCGGCGGGCGTCGCTTCGCGAAGGAGGCGTGAGGCACCGGTTTCTCGCACCCGCATCCGCAGCTCTCTCTTCTCTCCGGAGTCTCCATTGATGGCTGAAACTTGCCTCTCTTTCGTCACTTGTTGAGGTCTCTATTTTTCAGGGCTTTGTCTCCTCACGTACGGATGGTACCTAAAACCTTGTCGGTTTAGGATTCTCTTATGGCTATATGAACTCCTGTACTTCTTGAGAAAAATTTTTTGTTCAAAAGATTGAGCAATCTATATTTTTTAAAATTTAGATTTGGTAGATATCTGCAGGGTAAGTTAGTTGTCATTCTCATTATCCTTGAACGCGCAATTCAAAATGTGTAACTGATAATCGAGACTATCCCGAATCTAAATTTTGCAATTAATTATAATAGAGACCATTTACACGCGTAATGCAACCCTCTAAATTAAAGATAGATGTCAATGGTTTCTAGGAGAAAAAGAAGGATGCCTAATTTCAAAAATAGGATACGTGCTATCTATAAAAGTGCGCGGTTTGTGAGGTAATCAATCAAGATATCGAATTTCCATTTATCATATATGCAATACACCGTTTACTCCTTTCATGTTGAAAATTGTGAGTAAGGGTATTTTTGTTCTTTTAAAGGGTAGATAGACACCTAATCAAAACTCGACGTTATACAGAGTAAAGATTATACGCCATGTCGGAGTTCGGGTCGAGTCAAATGGGTCGGGTTGCCTGCACCAACGATCGACCGACCCGAATTGTTTTATTTTGAATTTTTTGGGGGGGCTAATCCCGAGGGAAAATCATCATAAAAAATCGAGAAATTGAAAGGATGAATTTTCCCGGCTTACTGCTGCTCCTCCCGGGAAACCGAGCAGAGCCGAGCTGAGCTGAGCTGAGCTGAGCTTTATCCTCTTTCGTTCGGCTCCGCTGACGCTGAGGGAGAAGAAGATTCAGGGGCGACGGTCGGATGGGATAGGGGCTCGGGTGCAGCTGAGCGCGCGTTCTCGGGAGCGATGGCTATGGCGACACGTGTCCCTTCGGCCTTATCTACGGCACCACCACCACCGCCGTCACCGTCACCGTCGCCGTCATCACCGTCATGGGTGGGTCGACGTCATAAATTGAGTTCGGTGGTAGCTCGCGTCATTAATCGCCGCGGCCATCGCAGCGGCACCAGCACCAGTCAAATTGGGGTCTCTCCGTCGCCTTCGCCGCTTCGTTTCGCTTCGCCCGCTGCTTCGCCTTCGTCGCCGTCGCCGTTTCCTTCCTCTTCCTCTTCTTCTTCTTCGCCGAGGAGGCGGTTCCCGACCGTTGCTGCATCCATGGCCGGCGCGCCCCCGACGACGGTGCTCATCACCGGTGCCGGTGGTCGAACCGGTGAGGCCCTTCTCCTCCTCCTCCTCTTTCGTTTGCGACGCCTTTTCCTCTTTGGTTTTCGAGAGCTTTCGAGTTGCGAACTCCTGATTGCTTCCTCTGTTTGGGCTTTAGTCTTCGTTATTTTTCGCGTTTGATTCTTCAGAATTGACGTTACCCGTTTTTCTCTTTATTGAGGTGGATGATGGATTAGGCCTTAAGTGTTTTTCTCTTCATTGGGCACGAATTGTTTGAAGGGGGAGGTACTTGTTTTTTCCCCCATGCTCCGCTAGCACTGTTCCTAATATATTTCGACCATTGGATTTAGGAAATACGGCATTTACTTAAAAGTCTTACGCTTGACAATTTAGATGCACCAAGAGAAATGCTCCTAGAGCACCTACCGATTGTCCCAACTTAAAGCTAAATAGCTCTTTGAGCAGATTTTAGGAGGATATGAAAGACATTCTTTATGGATAAATACTCGGCGTGCAAAAGAAATTGAAATTCTACTGCTTAAGATCTGGTCTATGGTGATTCTTGTATTTTAATGGCTAGATTTCTAAGAGAGTATTTATGTACGCACCCACGCACGCATGCACATGTGAGAGGTGCTAATTTTCTATCTCTAGTTCTCAAATTTTGCCCATCTTCATAACATTCTGAGAAGAGACAGAATGCGGAGTTTTCTAGAATCCAGATGCAGCTGTCTTTACCTCACTTTCAAAAAGTCACCTTTCTTTCTTTGGGTTTTAAGGTTATCGTTATTATTTATTCTTTGAGATAATTTTGTCTGACAGGTCAAATAGTTTATAAGAAATTGAAGGAGAGGTCAGACCAGTTTGCTGCAAGAGGTCTTGTCAGAACAGAAGAGAGCAAGGGAAAAATTGGGGGAGCTGATGATGTTTATGTTGGTGATATAAGGGATCCCAGCAGTGTAGTACCTGCAATACAAGGCACTGATTTTCTTATTATTCTCACCAGCGCTGTTCCAAAGATGAAGCCTGGTTTTGATCCCACTCAGGGTGGAGGGCCAGAGTTTTATTTTGAAGAAGGAACTTATCCTGAGCAGGTCATTTTACATCTCTGTTTACACTCCCTGGGGACATCCACTGTCCTTTTTATCTGCTCTGACAAAATATTTTGCATCTCAGGTCGATTGGCTTGGACAGAAAAATCAAATCGATGCTGGTCTCTGTCTCCTGCCCATTGGAATTGATTTTGTTGTTCTGAGTTCCTTGGCATGCCTTTTACTGATATATATGGTTTCTTTCTACAGCAAAAGCTGCAGGAGTAAAGCAAATAGTTTTGGTTGGTTCAATGGGCGGAACAAATCCCAATCACCCTTTGAACAGCTTGGGGAATGGAAACATTCTGGTTTGTAATTCATTGATCTGCACAAAATATCTTGAAATGGTTTTTGATCTCTTTTTATTTGAGCATATATTTTGTGATCGAGCCTCCATTTAATCGACCATCACTGTGGGTAATTTTTCTGTGTTTGTTTTTACTGGGAGGAGGGGGAGAACGACAAATAAATCGTGGAAGGAAGATAGAAGAAGAGGGAAGAAGAGGAGGGGAAGGGGGAAGGGGGGGGGGGGGGGGGAGAGGTGGTGAGGATGGGATGTTTGGCCTTCTTCCACTACCGAAAATGTATGCAAAATGCAAATCACACAAAATGTTTTAGTCAAGTATGGTAGATGCTGGCTGACAGATTGTGGAAATTTGCTTAAGATAAATCGATATTGTCTGATGCCTATTTATGCCGTTGGGAAAGCAACCATGAGCCTATGGTAGGGAAAAGTGCATACAGTCAAATGCTAAAAGTTAAAGTGGTTGTTCACATAGGGACTCAGACTACTGTTTATTTCTGTGAGTTTCTACCAGTGCTGAGTAGCAGCTTTCCTGGTTTGAATCATCTTCCTTGTCTCTTGAGATAAATGTCTTTCTTTAATATCATTTACTGGGTCAATATGTGAGTAAGGAATTGTATATCGTTGCAAAATATTAGCTTTGCTATTTTACAGGTGTGGAAGAGGAAGGCTGAGCAGTATCTGGCTGATTCTGGTATTCCATACACAATAATAAGGTAGATTTGAACTTCTGAGATCTAAATAGTTTTCCCAACAATATCACTGATTAAGTCTCTCTTCTCTCTTGCCTGCGCTTGTGTGCATTACCAGAGACAAATGGATATTATAAGCCACTTTTTGCAATACATCTTATTTGTGGTATCTTTTCTTCCCAAGTGGCATGAAAACATTTTAATAGGAGAAGTTGATCTTATTTAATGTTCTAAACTGGTGATTAATCACCGATTGGTTAGTCATGAGCATCCCAACTGTCAATTACAAGGAGTATTGGTGTAGTAAATAGCATTGCTTATTGGCTGAAGATAGTCGCAATTGTTGTTACATTCACTAGACTAGAACATGCCTACTGATGTCTACCTGATTCAGGGCTGGAGGCTTGCAAGACAGAGAAGGGGGTATCCGTGAATTGATTGTGGGCAAGGATGATGAGATTCTTGAGACACCAACAAAAACCATCGCGAGGGAGGATGTCGCAGAAGTTTGCATTCAGGTAATTATTTATGCTGTTATGTATTTCGTTCTCTTAGTTTTTTTTTTTTTTCGGTCAGATTTCGTTCTCTTAGTTTAACTTGCGAATTTATATTTTCCAATCCAATCTTTCTCTCAAAAATAGGCGCTGTTCTTCGAGGAGTCCAAGTACAAGGCGTTTGATCTGGCCTCGAAGCCCGAAGATGTCGGTACACCCACAAAAGAATTTAAGGCTCTATTTGCCAGTGTGACCACTAAGTTTTAAAATTGCAAGTGGCCATAGATTAATAGTTGCTCTTTCTAAGTTTATGGAAATGGGGAAAGAGAGACATGGCAAATAAAAGTAGGTGTACAAGAATATGTCTCCACAGAATGTGTTGCAAGTGTCAATTCTGTGTGGTCGACTGCATATGATGTGGCCCAAGAATATGATCAAACAACAAAATTGGGCATTATTTACTTGTAAAAACTGCACGTCTATATGACTAATGTGCAGTGGAAGTGGATAAGGTAAGAAGATTGAAATCCTCCTTAAGTGATCATGGTCTGTTTCTGATGCTAGCGGTTATATGCTTACATCTCTCCCTTGTGTATGCCTGACCAGCCTTTGTTTGGAACGTGTCGATGGAAAAGCATCGCATGGTCTAAAGATCGCGTAGATCGAACCCATTTGGATTGTTGATCAATATCGGTCCGGCTGTTGGACCTGCATGATTAATGGTTCAGATGGTATGGATCCATTATGGCCTATGAACCATGCTATCTTCCATGGGCTGATAGGACAATATTTTAGTCGAGTAGGACGGACCAATCTGTTCAGAATGAGATAACTATATTTGAATTTGCCTGACGTAAAGTCAGGTAAGAAGATTGAAATCGTAATGTTAGTAAGAAGCATCGGATTTCGATTGAACTAAGGAGGTATGGATTACGTGTTCGGGAATCCTGAAAGCAGCGGAAGCAAGGAAACGGGAAACTTCTCTCAGTGCATATTTGCCGGATTCACAATTTGGTCCATTTATGCTCCATTTATGCTGGGTTGGGTCGAACAAACAGGTGCCTTTATACATCACGATCCTTTTGTTCGCCTTTTCGGTTAAAACTCGATTCGTATTTTCAGGACAAAATGTTTTACATATGCGAAAACTAAAGATGTTAGATATGAATAGAAGTTTCGGACACCTGTTATTGTGAAAAGTAGTGTATGATTTTGGGCCGTAGCCAAGAAGTGGCAACCAAGGGAACAAAGACTAAAAAGGAACGAGAGTTGAAATGCCTAGAGACGCCTCATCACAAATCCAAGAGCCACATCTGCAACACTTGTGTCTGCAACATACAAGGAAAACCTAGGCCACGCGGGAGTGGCCTTGGCTCCTTGATGGCAGTTTCTAGCCGGCGAGCGAATTGGCGAGTAACAAGATTTTGGTGACGAGACAGTGACATGGTGGAATCGGGGGCATGGAGTCGCGGATTGATTGCAGATGAAGAAGTCGCAAGGAGTCGTGGTGATAGGAACCAAGGTCTCGTGACGGATGAGAGGAGGACGCGAGTGGCGGCAGCGGCACAGAGCCGCCGCGATGGTGAAGGGGAGCGGAAGACGAGAGTGGCTGCGGCGTAGAGCCGCGGGGAGCAGGGTACAAAGTTGCGTTGGGAAGGGAGCTCGCGGTGACCGGCGGCAACCATTAAGATGAGGTGGCTAACACGATTGGTGCGAGGGTGTTATACGACAAACGGCCTTTAGGTGGTTCGAGACAGGGAGATAGCACCCCTCTCTCTCTTTGAGGATGTCCTCATCCAAACAGCTAAAAAATGAAACCCTACAATCACCATTAAGTTCATTTTATTCCAACAGCTAAAAAATGAAATTAAGGGCAAAATTATCAATTCAGTTGCAAACCTATTATATGGATACGAATATAATGCAAAATTTTTCGATTGTTTCAATGTAGTCTTAAATTTTCGCATGAAATAATCTTTTAGGGTAATCTTTGCTTGAAATTGCTGACTCTAGTTATTGTCGACTATTCTACGTGGCGTGGTCGGCGATCTAATATTGACAAAATGAATAGAAACAACTTTATTTCATAGAATTTTCCTATATAGGCATGCGGGAGAATCTTAAAGAGGACCGAATATTGTGGAAATTTGGAGGGGCAAATTTCAATTGAAATTGTCAGATTGCGTTTAGGACACGTCAAGTCACCGACAGAATGCCGACTCTTTTTCGACCTGACAAATTTGGTTGAACTGTCCCACTTTGAAGGTCGGTTTCTGACCAAAAAAAAAAAAAAAGGTCGGTTTTTTTTTTTTTTGGTCAGACTTTGAATGTCGTTTGAGAGTGGTCGAATTTGATGATGCGCTTGGACATCAGCTAGAAAATCTGAATTATTTGGAAATGTGCAATTTGTCTGAGGTTAATACCGCGAAAAACTCCAAATCGGTACACCTGTTAAAGATTTTTCCCAAATTAATTTTTTGACTACAAAAAATCCCAAATTGGTACACCTGTGACAGATTTACTCAAAACTAATTTTTTGACAACTAAAAATCCTAAACTGGTACACTTGTGACAAAATTACTCTCCGTTAAATTGGATTAATACCACGAAAAATCACAAACGGATAATTTTGTGATAAACAGACGGGTAAAATCCTAAACTGATATACCTGTCACTTGTTACATATTATCCAACTGAGCAATTTGACAATAAAATTTAACGGAAACTAACGGAGGGTAAATTTATCACGGGTGTACCAGTTTGAGGTTTTTGGTGATCAAAAAATTAGTTTAGGGTAAATTTGTCACATATATACCAATTTAGGGTTTTTTGTGGTATTAACCCATTTGTCAATTGCTTGCTAGGCTATCGGGTCTATCAAGATTAAAGGGCCTCCGATAATAGAGTGTGCAGAGTTGCAAGCACTAATTGAGACTCAAAGTTTGGAGAAATTTGAATTGTTGGAGCATTTGTTCATTCATAAATGTGGTTCCTTAAAAAAAGTTGCCGGATCTATCAAAGTTACAGAAGCGGCAATGCTTGAATTTCACGCATTGTGAATCACTGCAAAATTTGCATGATCTACGTCTAACAGACACGTGTCCTCTCGACATCGCAAAACTGCGGGAGGTTACGTGTCTTCAATGGCCATTACAAAGATTGGAAGAATACATGCAGTCATAATGTGGAAGATATCAACAGGTGACTCTAGAAAGGGACAACCACCACTTTCTTGACTTGCGGTGTTTCTACCGTCTTATTGGCTCCTGACACCTCGTATTATATTGAATTGACTACATTATTTTTCACCTTTGTTTTTTTCTTCTGTTTCAATTTTACTATAAATGAAACTATTCATGCTCCTATCAATCAGCGTTTATTAAGTTAAATGGGGGGCCCACTTTTGATTTAAGATTATTGCTTGCCTTCATTTCTTCTTTTTTGGTTTTTTCCTTTTCTTTCTCCATTTATGAAAAAATTGGTGTACTTCTTTTCCAACAAATAGTTTATTTGGTGCATAGCTATCTAATTAATGTGTTCATGACAAAAAATAATAATTATTTTGTTAATAAGTTGTATATTTCTTCTTCTTTTTTATACTAGGAAACTATTATTTAAAAAATAACTCAAGTACAAGTAAGAGTAAACAAAAACCATCTAATTTTGTAAATAAGTTGTATATTTTTTTTTGTACGTGGAAACTAATTATTTTGTTAATGTGTTGTACATTTTAATATGTGTCATTAAATGATAGCCTATGTCTTTTAATTGCTCAATTTTCATTTTATCGGTGAATCTAATAGTCATTTTTCAATTATTTATTGTGTGATGCATTCAATATTTTGAGTGACCATGATTCGTTCTTCGTTTTATAGCAAAGTACCTCAAAGGACATTAGATTTGGTTTTTCGTCTCCGACGTGCAATAGAAATATTATGTCAATCACGATAACTATTTTCCCTATCACAACTGAGAAGAACGCATTTTGTCTCTCTTTGACTTTTTTATTGAGATAAAATAACCTTGAGCAAGAAGATACGTTCGCACATTACTCAAAAGATACTCTTGCTTTAGAAAATTTCTTGGTAAAGTTTCAAATGAACTTGTTGAGATGATTGATTGCTATTTTCTCCATTCACAGTTTCATCATAAATAGATATCTTTAAGTAGAAAACAATATTGTATTCCATAGTAATTGCACTACAAGAAACAATACGATCAAAGATGAGTAAATTGTGGATAATGTTTACATCAACCACAATATTTAGTCTTTGAGTAAATTTTCGTAAATTTGTACCAAAAATCGAAGTTGAAAAATTCACAATCATGAAGATAATCTAGGGAAATAAAGTAAACACTTTGCAGATTAAACTAACATTTCTTAACTTTGATATATGATTAGTGCTTGCTAAGATTATAACAGTGGAGAACAAGTTCAAAAGAAGATAAACATGAAGGAAACATTGAAATGCAATGGGTGTGGAAGAAGTGGCTAGGGTGAAAAAAGTTATTTGGATGTGGGTAATTTTGTCTTTTAGTAAAATTGGAAAAAAAGAGAGAAAAAAGGTAAAAAATTATCTTAAGTCAAGAATGAGACCCGCAAGGGATAATGTAGTCAATTCAATGTGATTGGGCATGTTAAGAGTTAATAAGGAGGTGGAAATAGTGTGAGCCTTCTTTACAGTTGGTAAAAATTTGCCGCCTTCTTTCCTCCGAGCAATTTTCTGTTTTTTTTTTTTTTTGGGGTTTACATCATGCATGTTCACCTTAGCATTGAATAATTGAAGCAACAATCTCTTTGTAATATTCAGGATTTTCCAAAGAAAGGGAAACGGAAGAAATAATTCATGACTCATGACTTAATATTTACATTATTGTTGAAATTATATAGCCGTTCATAAATTGAAAAATGTCTGTAGACTAAGTTGACGAATCGTCATTTGATTGTGTTCTCTTGTCTGTTGACTAAGTTGGTAAACTACTACGATCGTCAACGTGAATAAACAACAACATAATTGACCCACAAATGTTCTTGTAGTGAAACAATGCAATTTTTATATTTTAATAAAAAAATTTGGTTTTATTTCTTCCAAAACATACAATGGGCCAAATCATTCGTAGAACCGGGAATTGGAACAAAATCGACCAGGGCAGGAACTGGCGGTTCGAGAACAGACCGGTTCGATTCTCAATTCTAGGTCGAGAATCGTGCTTTGGGCGTTCAGGTCAATAATTTCGCCATTTATATATAAATGGATGACTTTTCAAGGTTTTCCAAAATGATGTTTCCTTTAAAAATTTTCTGAGGGCGGAGGATTTGGTGGAGAAGCTTTTCACATTAAGGCTTCGTTCGTTTGGCGGAAAATATTCTCCCGAAAAATATTTTTCGGGTTTTCCGGTGTTAGGGGGGCGGAAAACGTTTTCCGTGGGAAAATATTTTCCTTCCCCCCTCACAAAATAGCCTAAGTTTACGGAAAATGACTTCCGCTTCTTCAAAAGTGGAAATCATTTTCCGGAGCTTTTTCTTCTTTTTCTTCACTAAGGTCGCCGGCCGCCGCCATGCCGCCGCCGCCGCCGCTTTGCCGCCGCCGCCGCCCGGCCGCCGCCGGCGCCGCCGCCCGGCCGCCGCGGATGTTGGCCGCCGGTCGCCGGCCACCGCCACCGCCGCCGGACGTTGGCCGTCGGTCGCCGGCCACCGCCGCCGGCGAAAAATATTTTTCGAAACTTTTTCATATTGGTCGCCGAACACCGGAAAATTATGTTCCGGAAAAACATTTTCCAGGAAAATGACTTCCGGAAAAATATTTTCCAAAAGGAGAATATTTTCCGCCAAACGAACGGAGCCTAAGAATGTAATAAAAGCTCTTCACATTAAAGAATGCAAAATTATTTTTATCGTAATTCTTTTAATTCCCGAAGATTCTCATAACTTTGAATTTGATGACTTTTTTCAAAATTTTACCAAATTCATATCTTGGAGTGTATTTAACACGAAATTCTTAAAACTTATCAATATAAAAATATAAACATGTTATTGTAATTATTAAAAGCTTAAACAATTTTACATTTTGGAGAGAGAGTCTTAGTAGTAGAAGTAGTTGATAAAAAGTACCAAATAGGTTTTTTTTTTTCTTATTTGATAAATTTATAGTATTCAATGCAATGACTTAACGTACATTTGTCGCTTTTGAAGTTGTCAATATTGACGGGAAAATTACCAAAAAAGTCATAAACCTATTACAATTGTGTCAATTTAATCCTAAACCTTTTAATTCGATCAATTTAGTCCTAAGTCTTTTGACAATTTTCCAATTCAGTCCATATGGCCAGTTGTGGCTGAAATTGCTGACGTGAACAATTTATATATATAATTATGAATTATTATTATTTTTTATCTTATTTTTTTGTTTTTTCACTATGGCTGGCGAGGGTCGCCGTCGCTTGGCTGGCGAGGCTTGCCCTCGTCGGCCATGGGCACGACCTTGCTAGATTTGACAAGGTTAGGCCTTGTCTTGGCGAGGGTTGCCATGTGACCAGCCCTCACCGACCATAATGAAAAAACAAAAAAAAAAGAAGAGAAAAATAACAAAAAAAATCATAAAATTGTAAAAAATTATAAAATTTGTCTACATTAGCACTAGTGGCACCCCGTAGGACGGCTAGCATCTAAGTTAGTGATTTCCGATTAAAATTGGTTGGATGAACTGAATTGACAAATTGTTAAATAATTTATGACTAATTTGGTTAAATTAAAAAGTTTAGGATTGAATTGACGCAATTACAATATGGTTAATACTTTTTTGGTAATTTCCCCGATATTTTGACTGTTGACAAAAAAAAAAAGAAGCACTTATGCCACTTTGGAGGACTGTCATTGTAAAAAAAAAGCACTTATTCTGACCGTTGACCGTTGACTTCGTCGCTATTTTTTATTCTTTCCGTGCTGAGACAAAGCAAACAAATCCAAGAAAATACAGCCAAAGCACATTGCTATTCTCCTGCCTCCGTCGCTTTGCTAATTTTTCTTGAGGAATCCCAGGTCAGAATAAGAAGCAAGGACTCCACATCTCTCTTTGATCAATCTGGTTAAGATTATGAGCTCCTGAAGGAGGATGAAGAGAAAGACGGACTCACCAGACGTAGCGACGACATCTGCATCTGCCGATGACTGCGATTTGTCGTCAGGGGCTGAGTTTGAGGTGTTCTTAAATTTTAGAGGCCCCGACACTCGCCTCAGCTTTGCTGATTGTCTCTATCACTCCCTGGTTCGAGCTGGGATTCGCGTTTTTAGAGACTTCGAAGAGATCCGAACGGGCGAAGTGATTGGAGATAAGCTCCTGCAAGCCATCGAGTCCTCCAAAATATACGTGCCCATCTTCTCTAGGGACTACGCATCATGCACGTGGTGTCTTCGCGAGCTCGCGCACATGGTGGAGTGCTCGAGCAAAGAAAACGGCAAAGTGATCCTACCCATTTTCTACTACGTGAATCCCGACGACGTGAAGCTCAAAACTCGATTATACCTCGACGATCTGAAGCAGCATGAGAAGAAGTTTGGCTGCGATGATGTTCGACAATGGAAGAACGCTCTGACCGAGGTCGCAAGAATCAACGGATGGGGCTTGAAGGACAAAGGGTACGATTGTGGGTTCGAAATCTGCTTTCTTCTGTTTTTTCTGGGCAATTAAAAAGCATAATTATACATATTCACTAGAGAAGTACGTTTTTTGTTGAGATGATGATGCGTTCTCATGATGCTTTACTGCTTACTGTCCCAAAAGAAACAATGCCACACTGCCTTTATAGTTAATTTATCTGATGGAGAGAAGAGCAATGAGGAGAAAAGAATTTTTCCCTACTTCATAGTTAATATTTTTGAAGATCTCTACACTAGTGAGATGATCATAATGAATAGAATCTTCTCCCATTTTTCCTCTTTTAATTATTCCTACCAAGCACAGGATATTAGTCTATTCTTTTTGTTTTCTTGCCCGGGGCTGGCGAGGGCCAGCCACCCTCGCCCAGGGCTGGCGACCTCCGCCGGCCCATCCGGCGATGGGTGGCGGGGCCCCACGGCAAAGCTCCTTCTCTCCTTTTTTTCAGTCTTTTTTTTTTTTAATTTTTAGCCTTTTAATTTAATTTAAATAAGATTTGAATAATAAAATAATTAAAAATTCCACGTAGGAGATAGAAATTCATTTAAAAATGTCACGTCATTATTTTCCGTTAGACAAATCGACGATGTTAACTTTAGGACTTGATTGAACCAATTTGACAAATTTTAAGACTTAATTGCACTTTTTAAAAAATTTTGAATTCAATTGCACTTGTGCGATATGTTTTAGGACTTATAGTGAACATATCCATTGACTTAAGAAAGTGATCTTCTTTTTGGTAACACCTTGCCGATTCAGAAATCCAACTAGTTTTGTGTCTTCAATGGTTCCCAACTTAAGAGTTTATCTGCCATCTGTTTCATGCTAAGATTCTTGTGTCAATATGCCAGCCATGGTGAAATCATCAACAAGATTATTGACGAGGTTTTGACCAAGCTGATGAAAAGAATAAGAAATCTGCCCGATCATTTAGTTGGGATTCATGATCATATCGAAGCTATCATGGACTTGTTAAATGAAGGTTCTCATGATGTTCGTTACCTAGTCATCCATGGAATGGGCGGTATCGGTAAGACAACTCTAGCAAGTGCTATCTTTAATCGAATCTCCAATCAATTTCAAGGCTATAGCTTCCTCTTGGATGTTTGGGAATCTGCGCAGCATGGTAGAATTATTGACTTACAAAAACAGTTATTATCAGAAATTCTCCAAGGCAGATCTCTAGAGATCTATAATTCTATTGATGCACGGATTAACATAATTAGAGAAAGGTTTCGTGATAAGAAAGTTCTCATTATTCTTGATGATGTAAATAAGTGGGACCAATTCTCTAAGCTTGCAGGAAAGAGCAATTGGTTTGGTCCAGGAAGCAAAATCATCATCACAACGAGGGACATCAACTTTTTGCCAATCAAAGAGAGGGACAAAGAAAGTAGTTTCCAAGCAAGTTATGAAGAGTTTAAAATTTATGAAATGACAGAAATGGGTTCTTTCCATGCTCTTCAACTTTTTAGTAAACACGCCTTCAGGTTGGATTTCCCACCACCTGACTACGACGAAATCTCACGCAAAATTACTAGCAAAACATGTGGAATTCCATTAGCTCTCGAGGTAATCGGTTCTTCACTTTGTTGCAAAAGCAAATTTTTCTGGAAAGACACCTTGAAAAAATTAGATTTGGTACCCAAGCAGGAAGTCTTCAATAAATTAAGGATTAGTTATGACATGTTAGACCATCGTCAAAGAGAAATCTTTCTTGATGTCGCATGTTACTTCATTGGAAAGGAAAGACTCCATCCGTATTATATGTGGAAAGCTTCTAACTATTTCCCAAAGAGTGAAGTTCTTATCCTTATCCGTATGTCTTTGATAAAGATTGTTGAAAATGACACATTGGGGATGCACGATCAACTTAGAGATCTTGGAAGAGCAATTGTTCAGCACGAAGATGTCAATTTTCCGGGGAAACGCAGTAGGTTGTGGTTACCGAAGATTGCGTTGGACGTGGTTCGGATGAAAGAGGTAAGCTACGGTCACCTTGCTATTTTCTTTAGGAAAAAATCGACCATGCATTTACCAACAGTGTGGAGTAAGTTTCTTGCAGGTAAATATTTTTGTTCAACTTTCCTTTTCGCAAAGAAAAATGGAAATGTTTTTATAGGGGTTTATTGATGGTTATATCATTATCTTATATAAAAAGTGTTGCAGCCACCACTTCAAGGGATACCAAAATTTCTAAACAAAATGATATGAAAACAGGTGCAGATTGCGTCTTCCTTTTTGCTAAGTTGGCAATCATTAGCGACATTAATCTAAAACGAGACATCGTCGACCACCTCTTACTGGAAATTTGGGAATAGAATTAGAAACTAATTGCTCTGTTTGTTTCGCGAAAAATGAATGATCTAGATAAATATTTTCGTAAAAATATTCGCTTAAATGCTCCGTTTGTTTCGCGAAAAATGAATGATCTAGATAAATATTTTCATAAAAATGATCGCTTAAATCGCTTAAAATAATCAGTTGATGAAAAATATTTTTATTATCGATAATAATGTACATTCAAACATTTTTGTAGACATTAAAAATATTTTTCGTTCATTCATTTTTCTAAACGATATGAGTGATCATTTTTAAGGAAATGTTTTTCAAATCATTCATTTTTCGGGAAACAAACGGAGCGGTAATTTACTACAATCTTTTGTGTATAGGCTGGCAAAACTTTCCTGCAATATATGGATTTAGCCATTAATGGTCTATCTCTAACATTTCAAACAATATAAGGGCGACTTTCATGAGGTTGGTCGAAAATCTCTACTATTAGAAAGCATATCTCTTTTGTGCGTTGATCCTTTGTTCTGTAGAATCCGCAAGAAACTCCTAAAACAAGTTTGACTTTCCGGTTCCTGTGCCTCATCTTGTAATAAAACTCATAAGAAACCTAATAAAGTGACCAAGCGGGAATCCATCCATAGAGTCGCAATCGGTTTACAAACTCAAGACATAGTTAGGAATTTGGTCCGGCAACTTTTTCCTGCATTGCAAAGGGTTAACACCACGAAAAACTTCAAACTGGTACATCTGCGATAAATTTACCTCAAACTAATTTTTTGACCACAAAAAATCCTAAATTTGTACACCTGTGACAAATTTACCATCCGTTAGTTTTCGTTAAATTTTACTGTCAAATTGCTTTGTTAAATGACACTCGGCAGTTGACGGATATACCAGTTTTGATTTTTACCCTCCATTTGTTACATGTGTACCAATTTATGATTTTTTACGGTATTAATCCAATTTAACGGAAACTAACGGAGAGTAAATTTGTCTCAAATGTACAAGTTTAGGGTTTTTTATAGTCAAAAAAATTAGCTTGGGGTAAATTTATCATTGGTGTAGCAGTTTGGGGTTTTTGGTCAAAAAATTAGTTTGGGGTAAATTTGTCATAAGTGTACAAGTTTTAGATTTTTCATGGTATTAATCCTATTGCAAAACCATTGCAGGTTTGTTATGTTTTAGAAAAATTAAATAATGTAGGCAGTATTTTCTATCAAGCTGTTTTACCCAGTGATAACTAAGTTCTTTTTTATCGACAGAGATTCACTTAAACTGAGTGATTAGTAATATATTTATGCTTTATACAGTATAGAAAATTCTTTTCAGCTGTACGAAAAAGTCGGATTAACTTGATTAGGTCTTTCTTGTTCTTTTCTCAGTTTAGATACGTACAAAGCAATATTGTATGTTCCATTGCTGACAAAATCATGTTCCTCAGACTTGTACAGCACCGTGTTTGTCATTCAATTGAAATGTTCACTTATGCTTTTCCTATCACCAGGGGACAGATAAAGTCGTAGCACTCAGACTAACGGGACTCTCCAATGTGCATCATTTCACAGGTGAAGAATTTTCAAAGCTGCCCAATCTGAGATTCTTGGAATTAGAGGGGGGGAACTTGGTAGGGGACTTTAAAAATATTCTCTCCAAGTTAACATGGCTCTCTTGGAGTTTTTGCCCTTTGAAATTAAACGCGACAAATTTAAGTCTCGAGAAATTGGCCGTGCTCGAGCTCTCAGGAAGTAACATTACTGAAGATTGGACCGGATGGGGGCCATGCTTGGTACAACATCATACTATGCAGTTTACTTTTTCTGGCATTTGTCTTGCTAACCAAACTTACCCATTTGCCTTTCTTGACTTGGCTGATTCTTGGTTTGTTATTCCAGGTGAGCGAGAACTTGAAAGTTATACGAATTACTCATTGCCCAAGCTTAAAAAGGACTCCTGATTTCTCAAAATGCTTGAATTTGAAGATATTGGTTCTTCAAGGTTGTACGACCTTGCTAGCGGTTGATGGCTCTTTCTCTAAACTAGAACACCTGAAGCACTTGCAAATCGAGTCGATTGATATGGTAGGGGAAGACGATTGGGACATTTTTGCAGTGTCTTCCATAGGTGGTCTAGAATCCCTGTCAACGCCAAAAGTAAGAAGGAGGGAACTTCAAGTACATGATGATCATGTTGCACAAATTAATCATCTGTGGTGTTTGGGTTTAGATGATTGTTCACTTTTTACACTTCCAGAGTCCATTGGAAAGTCAAAATCACTGCTTGAACTGAAATTGGATGCCAGGGGAATCGAAGAATTACCTCACTCTATCGGAGATCTTCAAATGTTGAGGAAGATGAGTCTTCGTAGAACTCGGATAAAGGAGCTACCGAACCCAATAGGAGAGCTCGAATCCTTGATTGAGCTAGATTTATGGGGAGCTGATATCACAAAATTACCTGCTTCTATTGGGAATCTCAAAAGGTTGGAGATTTTATGTCTAGAAGGGAGTGCGATAAGAGAGCTCCCAAAGGCAGTAGGGATGCTAGAGAATCTTAAAGAGTTGAAAGCCCGAAAGTGTAGAAATCTGAGAGGGGAAATTCCAAGTGAAATTGGGGGTCTATCATTTTTGAGGATGCTAGATCTAAGAGAGAGCAAGGTTAGGAGATTGCCCACAACTATGAATCAACTTTCTCATCTCCAACAACTTTGTTTGGACGACTGTAATGAATTAGAACAGTTGCCAGAACTCCCTGTGAGTTTGAAGGAGTTAAATTTCTCATCTCATTTATTGTGGACAGCCCCTGACCTTTCATACCTAACTAACTTATCCAATCTTTATATATGGGACAACACTCCTCAATTGTCAGAATTCAGACAAAGAGCTCCAAAGATGGAGTGGATTGAGGGATTATCTAATTTGGAGAGCTTGACACTTGTCATGGGAGATGTTGCATTTCCTTTTATTAATTTGGTTACTCTTTCTCGACTTCTGATTCTTAAGATAACTTGTGTTGATGTTCGATTTCTGATGGGGCTTCCATCTAGTCTTGAAAACTTGGCTCTATATACTGTCAAGTCACCAATGGAAGGGTCACTCTTTTCCAACTTGACAAATCTGTCCAATTTGGACCTTTATGGATGTCGGCTGAGGGAGGTTGAATTTGATTATGTCCTTGGACAGCATTTGGAGAAACTCCATAGTTTGTATGTGAGGGATAATGAATTTCTTGAGAGGCTATCAGTATCAGGATTGAAGGGGCTCCAACGGTTGAGCGTGTTTGATTGCCCAAGGCTAACGGAGATTCAAGGTGTAGAGAAATTAAAATCATTGCTTGAATTGGGATTTTATAGGACGGGAATCACGGGATTTGCCTAATTCTATTGTAGATCTTAAAATGTCGAGGAGGATGAGTCTTACTGATACTTGGATAAAGAAGTTATTGAACCCAATAGGAGGGCTAGAGCTCTTGCTTGAGCTAGATTTGAGGGGAACACATCATATAATTATTTGCTTCTGTTGGAAATCTGAAAATATTGGAGGTTTTAGGTCTAGACAAGAGTGCAATAAGATAGCTACCAGGGCCATAGGGATGCCAGAGAATAAAAAAGTGTTGCATGCTGGAACCTGTGAAAATCCTGAGGGGGAAATTCTAAGTGAAATTGGGGGTCTATCCTTTTTTTAGGACACCAGACTTATCAAGAAGCAAGGTTTATCGATTGCCCACAATTGTGAATCAGCTATCTCATCTCCAAGAACTTCATTTGGATCAATATGATGAACTTGAACAGTTGCCGGAACTCTCTGTGAACCTGAAGGAGTTGAAATTCTCATCTCATTTAATGTGGATAAGTCCCCAACCTCTCATATTTAACTAACTTAGTCGATCTGAACATACAGGGCAAGACTTATCGATTATCAAAATTTGGTGAAGGAGCTCTGAATATAGAGTGGTTCGAGGGGTTATCTAACCTAGAGAGATTGACACTCGTCATGGGAGATGTCACGCTTCCTCTAATTAATTTGGCTACCCTTCCCCGGCTTCGGGTTCTTAAGATAACTTGTGAAGACCCCTAATCCTCGATAGGGCTTCCGTCCAGTCTTGAAGAATTGACTCTACACGGTATAAAGCCACCGATGAAAAGGTCATCGTCCTTTGCCTTCTTGACAAATTTGTTCTATTTGCTGAGGAAGGTGAGATTGATGATGGCTCGGACAGCAGTCGAAGAAACTCCATAATTTGGATGTGAGACGATCTGTGAATTGCTTGAGAGGCTATCGGTATCAAGATTAAAAGGGCTTCAATGGTTGACGGTGTCTGGTTGCCTAGGGCTAATGGAGATTCAAGGTGATGAAAAATTAATTAAGCTTCAAAATTAATTTAAGCAGCAATCCCTCCTGTAGTATTCGTAAATTCCGAAAGAAAGGGAAAAGGGCAATATTTTTTCATGAAATATGCACAATCATGTATGTGACGCTTTGAGAATATATTATAAAATTTTTGCGACGATGGATTTTTCTCTTTACCTAATAATATTCATTTTATTGATTTCGTAATATTCGTTTAATTCTTTATAGTGGTATTTTTTAATTAATCCTCTAATGCCGTTCATACACCAAATAGAGAGTATCATGTCATATGACTTCTTATAAGGATTAATACCACGAAAAATTCCGAATTGATACATCTTTGATAAATTTATCCCAGACTGATTTTTATAATGATCTTTTAATATCATATATATATATATATAATATACATATATGAAATATGAACTATAGAGCTAGGGGTGAGCGGTTCCCGGTCCGGTCTGGTCCAACCCAAGAACCAGGAACCGGGCCGGTTCCCAGTTTCTAGGACTGGGGACCGGACCGGCGATTCTTGGGATCGTGGATCGGTTCCAATGGAATCAATATTAAATATTATTCGTGAACTGAGAATTGATTGTTCCGTTCTTTCTTTTATAGTTCTGATTTGATCCCGTAAGGCCATGGAAAAAATTGGAATCGATTATTCAATTTTTTCATATATATATTAAATATCATATATATGAAAAAATTAGAAAAATATATATTTATCGATCCGGTCCGGTCGGTCCGATCTGGTCCGGTTCCCACCCTAGAATCGAGAACCGGATTGCCTGGAAATCGATTTCACTTTTAGAAATCAAGAATCGGACTGATATTTCTGAGAACCGGACCCAACCAGTTAGGGGTGTAAACGGTTCGGTTCGGTTCGGTTTTCTTGAAAAACCGAACCGAACCGAACCGAACCGAACCGTTAAGGGTGCCTCCTTGAACCGAACCAAATAGGAACCGAACCGAATTGGAACCGAACCGATAAGTCGATTTGGTTCGGTTTACTTTTCGGTTTCTTCTTCTTTTATTTTTTTTCGCACTTCTTCCCTACCCCCTCCTCGTCTTCTTCTTCCGCTCTCTCTTCCCTTCTCTGCGAGACTGCTTCTTCTTTCTTCTTCCCGTCAAGAAGCAGGTCAATTGATGACCCACCACCAAAAGGTCCCACCAGATCACCACCGGAGTCGGCCATGGACACTCGCCGGAGACCGAACTTCCGGCGACTGTACCCGCTCTAACAACAAAAAAGCGAGGACCGGGACTCGGACGACCCGTTTGGTTAATGGCGGCCATCACAAACACCTCGGAGCCGCCGTCGCCGGCCCAGGTGGACTCGATCTCGATGTCGGCATCGGCCGACGAGCTGACGGTCGAGGCCGTGAACAAGCGCTACAAGGGGCTTGTCATGCTACGGCCAAAGGCCGTCAAGGGGAAGGGCGCGTGGTACTGGGCGCACCTCGAGCCCATGCTCGTCCACAACGCCGACACTGGCCTCGCCAAGGCCGTGAAGCTCCGGCACTCCCTCTACGAGGCCGTCTTCTCCGCCTCCAACCCGTCGCGGACCGCCTCCGAGCACCTCAAGCGCGGCACCTGGCCCAACTTCAAGAAGCCGGAGAGAAAAATGTCTTTCGTCACTTTTTGGGAGATGATAATGATGCGAGCCTGCGAGGGAAGAGGAAGAGAGAGAATAAAGCAGGAAAGAGAGAGAGAGAGAGGAGAGCAGTGAGAGTGTGAAGACAGAGGAAGAGAGAGAATAAAGTAAAAAAGTGAGAGAGAGAGAAAAGTCAGTGAGAGGTGAGCAGTACTGCAGTAATGAACAGTGAGATTGAGGAGAGAGAGCGCGAAGGGAAGAAAACCACATTAAAAAACCGAAATCCGAACCGATTTGAACCGAACTGAACCGAACCATTGTGTTAACCAAATTCATTTATTTATTATCCGAACCGAAACCGAACTGAACCGAAAATACATGAATTTTCGGTTCGGTTCGGTTCGGTTCGTATCTCGGTTCGATTTTTCGGTTCGGTTCTGACACCCCTACAACCAGTCGGTTCAGTCCGGTTCCGATTTAGGCGGTCTGTCTTGCTCACCCCTGTATAGAGCCACTGCAAAACTTTTCTTTTTTCAACAAGTTATTTCCACCGGACAAGCGCACCCTCTCTTCATTCCTATTCCCGCACAGGTTTTGGTGGTCTCGCATGGCGGTCGTCGCTTCCCTGAACTCGCAGCAGCTCTTCCCTCCTCTCCTCTCTCCCAATTCCCATTCCTCCATCCGTCCCTTCCCTCGAAACCCTCGTTCGAAACTTCGAACTTCCTCCAAGTTCCAATCCATTACTTGCGAGCTCAGGAGCAGCTCCGACCCGAGCAATTCCCCAGGTATCGTCTCTGCCTGTGCTTGAATTGAAGTACTTTTCGTGCTACTGTGAATCCCACGTCGGTTTTTGTGCCCAAGTTGCGGAACCAGAGACAGAGGCGAACAGTTTAGGGGTTAAAGCTGCGTTGGGTATGCTCAGGTTCTACAAGAGTGAGTCTCTCCACTTGCATCTCAGGTGTTCGATCAATTGTCCGCCTCCTAGTTAAATAGTTTGATGCTTCGGTTGCATCTTCTTTGTCGCTTCTTGATGTTGTTGGTGGCATGGGAGGAAGTAATAGAATGGTGGGTGTTTCGTTGAATTGGATGTGGAGGATGAAGGTTGAAAATTTTTTCCTCTTTCTTATGCTTGGTTGTCTTCTGTTAGGGGAAATATCGCCGATTCTGCCGAATAGTTGTCGATACGTGCCGACGTGTAGCGAGTACTCGATGGCAGCCTACAAGAAGTATGGGGTTGTTAAGGGCACCGTCCTGACGGCTTGGCGTCTCTGCCGTTGCAATCCTCTTGGTAATTGCCTTTCGAGCACCTTATTATCTGAAGGTTCTTTTTAAGCTTCAGTATGTTTTGGAAATGATGTAGGAGAATTTATCTTTTCTATGTTAATTTTATGTTGTGCTTTAACTCATTTGCATACCTGGAAAGTACAAACTTCACGACACAGCAGGGTTCCACCAGTGCCCTTAATGCCATTCACACTGTATCAGCAGTTCGCAACCCTTTCTGTTCATCGAGGAAACTATGGCGCGCTCCGTTGAGCTCTTGCTTTCTCCATGATAAATGTAGGTAGAAAAGGTTTTCATTTTCCCCAGGTGTTCATTTTGCCAGGTGGATCTGGATTTGATCCCCCGCGCTGGTTTGGTGAAGAACGTCCATCTGAAGAAGAATGAGAGTTTATTATATTGACTTCTGGGCCGACAGGTATATTTTCCACATCTTCGAGGTAACTTGGCTTAGCCTGTCTCTGAGATTGGTTCTGGGAGTTGCAGTCTCTTTCGACTCAGGCGAACAAGTCTTAACATCTATCTAGTGGTTCACTAGTTCTTAATGTTGACTTTGGATCGATTTTTTGTTTCAACAATAGGAGTAATATTTTAGGGGATAAAGGCACTGGAGGTCCGTCAACCATTACAAAATATTCAATAGGTCCCTCGATTTTTTTTGTTGTGCAGTTGGATCCCTATACGATATTTTTTTTTTGTTCAAGTTGGTGCTTCAGTCAAATTTATGGTGCCACTACCATGAGTCTTGAACAATTTTTACATGTCTAGGACAACCGGGGGATGAAATTTTCAAGCTCTTGATAATGCTTTCTTTTGCATCGGTTTCATTGGTATTGCAACAGACTGGCTGCCCCTTTTGTTTTCCTTTCAGGCATTATTTGAGGAAAACCACTTACATCACATAGATTTTTTTAAATTGGCACCAAAATTGCACTACAGAGTTCTATGAAAGTAAGTCAGTTTCAGCCAAGAATGAGTCGAGGAAAGTGGGGAAGTTTTGTTGTCAAACCATATCGCGGATTGTGAAACAGGATCGATGAGCTGTTCAATCTGAAAATCCTTTTTTGCGCCGGTTGGTTGGACATACAAACACGAAAACTGATGATCGTGTTTCTTGTGTTTCCTGTGCAGGTCTTCGAGTAGAGGGATGCTTATGATTTTGGCCATCCTGTTTCGTGATTGCAGCTAATATTGAATGCTTATGGTCCATTATTGTTCGACCAAGTGTATTATTTGCCGTCTTATGGAACTATCAGGAATTGCAATTTGGGAACAGATACATCCTTTTGCCATTGCTCGCTGGATGTCAGGTCCCTATGGCATAAATCCTCCAGAGTCCTCCTGCCATCCCCAATGTGAAGGAGTTTGCAAGCTCGAGATCGTCAAAGAGCAATCGTAGCAATGGAATCTCGACACTGGGAAACGGTGAAAGGACTCAGTGATTCCGTCTGTAAAATATCATAAATGGACAAGTTGCGCTTCTCGTTTTGACAGACAAGAAGGGAAGCAAAATCAAAGATGATTGTTGTTTGCAATAAGCGTCTTGTAGACCAGTGCTCCTGGGACATTTGTTAAGCATATTTGATAAGGAAATGTTCTTTTTTCAATGCACCAATTACACATAACAGGAGAGGCACTGCTTTGGAAGTCACGAATTCTCTTTATACGACTGTTTAAACGGTGCCTTGGAGGCGCAAATTTTGTCAAACTCGAACCAGTCTTTAAGATAGCTTGTGTAGGGTTCTGCTGCGAGTTCAATTCTTTTTCCAGCATTGCATTTGATGTTGACATCGCTTTCCATGGCCACTCTTGCTCTACCATCTTTGAATTTGCTCTTCTAGACTAATCTCCGGAAAGAACTATTGTTGAGAGGCTTCAGCGTATCACCTTAAATCATCCTGGAAGCCGATGATTCTACGGTGAAAGTCTTGGGCGACTTTTATACGCTCCACGCGAGTCGCACAAAGCTCCTTGGCAGTGGCGCCCGTTTCTCAAAATTCCCCCGAAAACTTAATTTTGTTTCGACATATCCCGCCTCCATCGGCGAATCCGTTCCATTCGATATTTTTCCAAAACGGTGTATTCTTCTTATCTACAAATGAGAACATGGCAGATGCAAACACGAAGAGTTCTCTAGGTGAAGTAACGTGGGTGGGACAATTCTATTCGGCGTTTCCGTCTTCTCAATTGCCCAACATCGACTGCTTCACAAAAGCAGGAGCTTGTTTTCTACAAAACCAACCCATGCGACTTGTTCTTTTGCCCACCCTCAGGAAATTTTTATAACGTAAGACAATATATAATTATAATGATGAGATCACACTGATGTGATTGGGGCACCGCCGGGGACAAGGACCATGATCACCAGCCTCGTCCCCATCCCTATCAATAATCTCCCCATAGTGGCACCTGTTTTTCTAAATTCCTCCCAATCTTGATACTGTTCCAAAGTATTCATGAACTTGATCATTTTGACCAGATAAACGTTCCTAAGCTTATCCCCGTTGGAAGTAATGTCCGATCAACGGACACTGCTCGACACTTGCACGTTTCGCCCCTTCTGCAGGAGGCATTTTAGTCCAGAAACAAAAAAAAAGGGGCACGATTCTTCCGTGCCACTCACGTGATCATCAAAAACGTTAAAAAAGAAAAACCCGTAATTTACCCCAACTTCACATACCAAAAAGTAAGGGCCAGGGCTTTTCGAGCATAGTTAAAAAGAAAAATGGAAATGGCGAGTCACTGCAGTTGTGCCAATAGAATGGTAATGAGATCGTCAAGGACTAAAGCAAACCCTACTAGGTGCTTTTTTGAGTGCATGAAGTAAGGGATAAGGTTGACGGCTGATTATTTTAAACTCAACTTGAAGTTTTGGGTGATTTTTGGACTGAAATAGTCGAAAAAAGGCGCAAAACGTGCACGTGACAAGTACATGTTCATCGGTCGATGCAACGAGCTCAGAGGTTAATGGGTCGACACGATCAAGTTCAAGGGACATTTCAAAGCAAAGTCAAATTTGTGAGAAATTTCATGAAACAGGCGCCAATTTAAGGAGATTATGGAGTCAATGTGATCGAATTCGGGAGGCATTTTTTTAAACAAAGACAAGTTTGGGGCAACCTAGAGAAACGGCCGCCACTTCAAGGGTACTTTCAGATTTCTCCTAGAATACTTGGGTTGAGTTTGGTGCCCTTTTTAAACTGATTGCTTTGGATTTTTCTCCAGGAAGAAGGGGACCCGTCTCGTGTGGACACCCCCGGTCCCAATTCCTTTTTCTCTTCTCGACACATTTCACACACTTTCTATTGGAAGCCTTGAATTTTGCCAGAGAAGGGAATGCAAAGAAAATCATCACAGAGAAAGGCGGGTTTCCCCTTGGAATCAATGTGCCATCCTTTGACTCTACATGAAAACACAATGCATGGTGACAGGACACAAGGGAAAATTCAAGCCTGCTCATTCATCGGCTGCGACTATACACCGCCAATCAGAGGCATCTATGCAAGATCACAGCGACCAACTTCCCTCCAAAGTCTCCATCGGGCTATCGACCTCAAGCTATGGACCCGATTGAAGAGTATGGACTCGATTGAAGAGCAGCACCTGGTATTTGAAACAAACATAAACCAACTAAAAAAGGAAAAGATGGCCATGTATTTACCAAGCTGTAGCAACACCATAGGCCAATCATAATCATATCGTTTCAGGGACGGGTTAGAATCAACTGCACGGACTCCTTGCAAATGAGCATGTCATATTCAGGGAAGATGCTCTAAATTTGAGAATTATGTGCACTTGTTTCGTTTACACTTTGTGCTGGACTAACTGTTTGACATTCTGTGGAAGAAGACAAGGCACAAATTCTGCTTTACCCCGTCTTCTTCCACAGGACTTTGACCTCTAAATCTACATCACCATCTGTTGCACAATTGAACAAAGTCACCAGACCGAACCATCTACCTGCCAGTTTAACAAGGTTATATCAAACAAAAGTGCCAGTGGAGGGACGGGTCACAAAAGCAGGTTCCAGGAGAGAGAGAGAAATAGAGAAACAAAAACTCACCTCGGTATTCCATCTACTGTTGTATGCCCAACATTGTCAAGCCCCATTGTTAAACCCTTGATCGTAAATTCACTAGGCAGGTTTCCAAGCAGAGAGGGCATAGATGATCCGGCCCTTCCATCCTTGTAACAGCCACCGGCCATCTTCATTGATCATAAAATCTTTGTGATAGCTTGACCGTACTTTTTCTTTTGCCAGCTTCACGATGTCCCGATCAAAAGGAAGCTGCACAAACCCAGCTCTCAGGTTACGTACTTGCCACTGCTTGTATGTCTCTGGCCTTTCAACTCGTTCCCAACCCTCACAAGCTATAACATTTAATGCCTCCCTTCCAAATATTTCTTTCTCGATCAGCATTCTCTCCCGATTTTCACGGGGAACTAGAGTTTCGAGCATATCAAAAAGTGCAGAGAAATGGAACAGTGCCTCCCGAAATCGTGTAACAAAGAAGGGTGCATTGTAAGACCCGTTGAGAATCCCGTGGATATAAATATCAGGATCGATTCTTCTCATCAAATCAGTGACCATATTTCTCGGACTGACAGCTGCTACCGATTCATCAAGTAAGTTTTTAGAGCGATATATACAGTTAACAACAAGTAACTCATCCTTGTCAATTTTGAGTTCTTCTATCTGAATAGTTTCCCATTTCTTTGCTATTGCATTATACTCGAATGGGACATGGAAAAACTCTGCATAAGCTGCAAGTCTGCGGCCTGTTTCCTCCACTCGCTCCGCTGGCCGAAAGCCAGGTTGGGGGAAATCTATCCCAGTAATCCGAATTTTTGGGGGTCCACCAGGTCTTGATGAGAGCCGCTGAATAAGCGTTGGCCACTGGAAACCATAAAGAATACCAAAATCAATAATGTGGACGCTCATGGAATCAGATGCTAGGTTTTTAATTGTCCTATTTGCAGTGAAGTTAGAAAGCTTCCTAAATGGGCAAGCAGCTAGGAAAAGATGGTAAGCTTTCAATATAGCGGCAGCAGAAGTTCTCTTGCTAATGAGGCCTTTATAGATCTGGCTACCCGTGCCAGCCTGGCGAGCCTCAAGCCCATCTGCAAGGCAGTGAGCCAATCTCTGATTTCCATCCCCAAAAGGAGAAGAATGCTGCCTAATCTGCTTCAAAAACTCACTTGTGCTTATACGGTCATCAGCTGCAACTGCTTGTGCACAATTGATCAAGAGAGTTCTCAAATCCACGACTTCCTTCTTCCCATTTTGTTTTCTCCCACGTCCTTTACCACCATTTAATCCCTTAGGTTGCCCATTGCGCAACATATTTGCAGTAGTTCCATCCTGCAAGGTTTCTTGAAGTACGGTTATGTGACTTGGACCCTTTTGAGGACAAATCAACACATGATCAAACACATCTGATCGGAGAGGCGATTCAGAGAAAATAGCAGCTTGCTTGCTACTCCTCTCTTCTTCAAAATCTGTATCCCCTCTATGAGGATTCTTCCTCCCCCGTGAGCCATTAGGAGAACACTCGCAATCATCCTTCCTCTCTAGCTTGACCACCTCACAAGATCTCACCTTTGACTCAGGTAAGGACCCTTTTGACTCCGCATTATCGAAAAACCCATTACCACTGGGAAGAAACTTGCTAGCTTCTTCAACTCCCTTGTTAAACTGCCAAATAGATTGACTCTCGCCACCCATATCAGGAACCTGAGCAATACTAGCTGGGGAATCTACAAAGCAATCCATACCACCGACGACACTATTGGAAGAGGCATAAGATGACTGAGAAATGCCATAAAATGAAAGACTCTGCACTTGAGGGAAGGAAGTGTTCTCACAAGAATATGATTCCAGAGGATTATGCATCAAATAGCCGTAGCTATTTACAGAGAGGTCATCCTCAGGACTCTCCCCACTTAGATAGGTATAATTTGGGTTCGGTTCAGGCGAAGGGGGATACTTCTTACCAATAGCCTCGTAAAGAGATTTCTCAGCAGCTTGAAGGTCCAAAGACTCTTGAAGCATACAATTCTTTTCCTCCATATCTTCTTCCATAAGCATCTCACTTATGTACCTCAAAACCGCATCAGAGAAATCGCAATCTTCCGGCGAATCCTCCTCTTGAGTCATGCACGAATTCGAGGCACTTGGGGTTCCGCTAATCTGTGTCGCCATGGGGGGTGGAACGTATTGAATTCCTCTCCTGAAGCCATTGGTCTCGTATCTGGGTCCAGGAACTAAACTCGAATCCGCACACCACGGCAACGATTGATTGTCCAATGAAAGTCCGGCTACAGAAGCGGAATACCCCTTAAAGGGAGGATCCATATTCATCCACTCCACAAGATCTCACCAAACAGAGCTTGGACCAGAAAGACCAATCCAAGCCCCCACCAGGCCAGAATTTCCGGAAACAACAGACGCCCCACGCGCGACCCCCTTCTGATACCCCCCGAACAAATCCTTGCAACCCCACAATGCCAATGCACAAAGAAGAAGGTGCAAAAAGTCAACCGATCCGACCACCGGAGTTTCAGGGTTTTGACATGCCTAACACCCCTATGCATATATCCAGCGAATCACAAGGCGACAGGACAGACAAACCGCAATATCCAAACGAAGCA